GGCGAGACATTTCAGCGTGTGCACTCTTGTTGGTTATTATCTTGAATATTATTATAGATAAAGATAAACTGTAAACAGCAAAAATGTTCAGCAAAGTAAGATCTACATATAAGTTTTATATGACCAAAATTGTCAATTGACCTCTTAAGGAGTCAGCTATTGCCCTTTAAAGACAATTTTTGACAATTTGTTCATCTAGTTTGCTTACTTTAAAAAATCTTCTCCTTTGAAACTGCTGAATCAATTTCAGCCAAACGTGGGCTGAATGAGTTTCAAAGTATCTAGTGTAAATTTTGTATTTTATTTCCTTGTACATCAAGAAACAAAAATTAAAGGTGAGCGATTCAGGCTCTTGAGAGCCTCTTGTTTAATAATGTAACCTTAAACAGACATATATTTTTTTTTGGCCTAATGAGATAACTACTAGTCCAAATGAAATGGATGTAAACAACTGTAGGTCACTGTATGGTCTTTAACAATGAGCAAAACCCATACTGTATAGTCTGCTAATTATAGGCCCTGAAATAACAAGCTGTGAAACAATTTAAGAATGTATTCCTTTGTTTATATCAATAATGATGAAATGAATAAAATGACTAAATAGGATGACCACATCAAGGATCTTTCCATGTTTCAGTTTCCTTCTTCAACAGAAATTACGTGAAAATTAGGAATTTTTCTCAAAACAAGTTTTTAATTGTTCAGGCTTCAATCATGAAGCTTATGACATAGGGTATTTCCATTTATGTATACAGCTGATTATTTTTAAATTATTTTTTGATATGCTTGTTGCATAATGTAAAAATTATTGATAATCATAGTTGTAAAATTCAAATTTATTCTACTGTACATGCTGTAGTGAATTGATTTTGAAAAAATAAGTAATGCTACATGTATATTAAATAGCTACTTATAAAGACTAAGTAGTACAAATGTAGCATGTTTAAAATTTATAAAATTCAATAAGGAAGTAGAATAATTAGAGTAAATTATTTGACTACCTGTCAAGTGACTTGAGACTATAAAAAATAAGTACGAAAGATATATTAACCCAAAGATGATATTTTTTTTTTTTTAGATAAATGAATAATTCAAAATAGTTTGGTAATCTTAAATACAGTAATGTCATTAGAACTGTCACTGTTAAATCATTAAAATGTCATAATTCAAATATTTAACAAAAACATAATTTTTTTTGAGGTCACATAATGTATGAGCAAAACACATTTGACTCAACATATGTGTTGAGTAAGACATCATTTCTTATTCATTTATGCCTGCAGAGTACTTGTGCCACTTTTTTATATACACTTAACACATTTTTTCAGTTTTTTAATTGGTCTTTATAGATATGGCTTTAATTTACATTTTGTACACTACATTGTAATTACTGGGTAGTTTATAATTAAATGACCACACAACACCAGCAATACAGTTCTCATTGTCCACACTATATCACTTGACAATTGAAATTATTATGTCCTGTGGACAGACAAGGAAGACTCCTATTAAAAGAATTTTATTATACCTCAAGGAACAAAACTTTGTTCCGTGGGGTATAATGTTTTTGACCCTTTAGTCCGTCCATCAGTCCGTTGGTCCTGTTCATGTCATCTCCACTCCTCTGAAACCACACAACAGAATTTCATTAAACTTTGTAGATAATTCGGACATAACATGTAGATCTATGTGCATATCGACTGGAAGATATGATTCTATTTTTTTTCTAGGAATTTCGGCCTAAATATATTACTGCAACAGATTGTCATTGCAATTCCTCTGAAGCTACACAACAGAATTTCATGAAACTTTATAGATAGTTAGGACATACTATGTAGATGTGCATATTGCCAGGAATTTTTGTTTAATTTTTTTTCTGGGAGTTATGTCCTTTTGAACTTAGAATTTTGGCCTTAATATACTAGTGCAGCAGTATGTCATCGCAACTGCTCGAAAACCATACAACAGAATTTCATGTAACTTTGTAAATAATAAGGGCATAATATGTAGATGTGCATATCCACAAGAAACTTTTATCAGTTGACTTTTGTAGGAGTTATTAGTCTTTAAACTTAATTAGGAATCTGGTGAGATTTTGTTCGCCCAGTGACAATGTGGGGGCGTGGGGTATGTGAGCAATAAAGGTTCTTTAATTCAATTGTACCTATTAATAAGACAAACCCTTAAGAGTAGATAGATGTGAAAGTTTAAGTATTGATCAGTGTTCTACCTCTATACTTTATTAACTCAAAATAGTAATAATGAAAAAATAAGATTTTATTCAGATTGATGGATGAGAAAGTTTGGTCATATACATGTATTCTAATGACCACTGAGAATTGCTACTAGGGATTCACTGAATAAGTTTTCAAATCTATGTTCTTTTAAGTGAACTTATTCCTAGTGTGTTAATACAACGGTCTGTCAGTGTCAAAAAGCAGGGTTTTCACTCAGGATTTTAGATGGCGAGTTCAGGGACTTAGTGAGTCCCAACAGCAGGAAGAAAATATATAGCAATGCCTTAATTTATTAGGTTCTTGACAAAATAAAATAAGAAAATGAAATAAATTTTTAAGTAATTTTTATACGACCGCAAAATTTTTGCGGTCATATATTGGTATGACGTTGGCATCGTCGCCCGAAGACACATTGGTTTTCGCACAATAACTTTATTTTAAGTGAATGGATCGCTATGAAATTTTACCATAAGGTTCAATACCACAAAAGGAAGGTTGGGATTGATTTGGGGTTATGGTACCAACAGTTAAGGAATTAGGGGCCAAAAAGGGGCCAAAAATAAGCACTTTTGTAACTTCCAGACAATAACTTGTGTTTAAGTGTATGGATCTCTCTGAAATTATACCACAAGTTTCCATACCACAAAGGGATGGTTAGGATTGGCTTTTGGGGGTTATGGCTCAAACCATTTAGGAATTAGGGGCAAAAAAGGGGAAAAAAACAAGGGTTTCCTGGTTAATGGACAATTTAAAAGCAGTGTAAGGGAGGTAATCCAAAAACAGAATTGTAGAATTTTGTACAATGCTGGATTACCTCCCTTACACTGCTTTTAAATTATCTATTTATGATGTATTTAAATTGCTATTTATGGTTGCAAACTCCATTGGAAATTTGAATAGAGATTATGACCATATCTTGAGGGAAAGAATTTTTTTTTGGTAAAGGGGGGGTGAGGGGGGTAAACAAAAAATTGTGGGGGGCAATTTTTTTTTTCATTTCAGATTTCAGAAATTAAAAAGAAAATTTCTTCAAATATTTTTTTTTTTGCAAAAAAAAGGGGAGGGGGGGTGGTCAATATGCAACAAAGCAAAAAAAAAAGGGGGGGGGGGGGGGGGGGGGGGGGGGTAAATTTTTTTTGTTTTTGTTGGGGGGGTCAATTCGCAACAGCATAATTTGTATTGCACAAAAGCAAAAAATTGAATATAAATTCAAATCATCTAACCAATTCTAAGTTCTTTGACTACACTTATTCAGTGTCAAAAACCTATTATGTGTCAAATATTTAATTACAATCCAAAGTCAGACCTGTATCAAGCGCGAATATTGTGTCCATTTTCGCCCCAACTGTTCAGGGTTGGACCTCTGCGGTCGTATCCAGCTGCGCTCAGCGAAGCATTTTATTTAACTTTCATATAACTTTTGCTTTTAAATGATGATAAATGGGCTCAGCTGATACAATCTTGATGCATCTTTTTACTCATCACCTCAGAAAATCAGTTCAGACAGTTTTCAGGAGTCCTGGATTCGTCATAGTGGGAACCCTGAAAACAAAACTGACTTCTTTTGATAAATTTGATTTTAACTTAAATTACTATTATAATTTCTTCAGTTTTTATACGCCCGTTTACGGGACGTATTATGGTTTACCGTTGTCCGTCCGTCCGTCCGTCCGTCTGTCCGTCCGTCGTCAACATGTCGGACAATAACTCAAAAATGCTTTAACCAATTTGCAAAAAACTTTGGTGAATTGTTTATATCTATTGACATGAGCTCCCTTTCGTTTTTTATAAAATTTAGATTTTACGTTTCCGAGTTATGGGGTTTTATTCATTAAAAAAAGGGGGATTTTCCAGTTTTCGGACAATAAGTCAAGAATGCTTTCACCAACTTGCAAGAAATTGTGGTGAATTGTTTATATCTATTGACATGAGCTCCCTGTGGATTTTTATAAATTTAAGATTTTACTTTTCCAAGTTACAGGGTTTTATTCATAAAAAAAGGGGGGATTTTCCAGTTTTCGGACAAAAACTCAAAAATGCTTTCAGCAATTCTTATGAAACTTTGGTGAATTGTTTGTATGTATTGATGTAAGCTCCCTTTAGAATTTTATAAATTTTACATTTTACATTTCTGAGTTATGGGGTTTTATTCATTAAAAAAAGGGGTGATTTTCCAGTTTTTGGACAATAACTCAAAAATGCTGTCACCAATTCTCATGAAACTTTGGTGAATTGTTTATATCTATTGATGTAAGCTCCCTTTTTATTTTCATAAATTTCTAATATGACATTGAGAATTTATTTAACTTTATTTGTTTATAGTCTGACAACAGATTTACTAAGTATTGCACAACAGCAAGAAATCTTTAATTGAATATAAATTCAATTCATATAACCAATTTCAAGTTCTTTGACTACATTTATTCAGAAACCTATAATATGTCAAATATTTAATTACAATCCAAAGTCCATTTTTGCCCCAACTATTCAGGGTTGGACCTCTGCAGGTATATCTAGCTGCGCTCAGCGAAGCAGTTTATTAGAACCATGAATAACTATATAATGTTTTTATTCAACCTTCTGAAAGCAACCTGAGATAAACACTGACTATGCGGTATGGGTTTTGCTCATTGTTGAAGGTTGTATGGTGACCTATAGTTGTTAACTTCTATGTCATTTGGTCTCTGATGGAGAGTTGTCACATTGGCAATCCTACCACATCTTCTTATTTTTATACTCAGTCAATCAGTTCTTTTTTTTTAGGTATCAAGACTGGTTATTTTACATGAGGAAGCAGAAGATGGGAATGCCATGCCAGACCTCGGTCAGCCTGTTATGACAGTAAAGACTGCAGTAGAAAATCTAGTTCGAGTAAGTCTTATATTTTATGGAGACATACATGTGAACTAATACTGAAAGAAAACATGAAAATTGACAAAGATTACATGGAGGTCAATTTATAGATTGATAGAAAAGATAAGAAATCTTAAAGATATGCCAATTTTCCGAGACCAATGCAGTGGTTGTATAATTAGATATGCAACATTCAAAATACAAGTAAATTTTACATAAGTCAAGAATTTTATAGTTCTTCTGCACTATTTTGTAATATAATTAAATGTAGAACAGGACTGATATATCAGTATGTCCTATATCTACACTCAATAAAAAAAGAGCTTAATTACATATGTTCATATCACAGGTTGGTTATGATACATGTAATAGCAGTGATGATCAGATTCTCAAACAAGACATGCCACCATGCCTCAATCGTGTGGACGAAGCCTCACTGTTCCTACTCCAGGCTTCAGACATGCTCAGGGCAGACCCTTTCTCTGCTGCTGCCAGGAAAAAGTTGATTGAAGGATCAAGAGGTCTGTATGATTATATTTATTTTGTAGATTTATAAACCTTGTCAATAAAACAGGAGGCTAATAAGAAAACATGTAGTTAAAACAATTTTCATGTGCAATAAATTTGATAAAAACATGGGCTTTTATGAAGAATACTATACTAATGTATTCTTTAAATAGCTCTTCATTTTAAACTTAAGTCTGCCATTTTTATACTATTTAAGAATAAATAAATATGTTTGTAAATATAGAACTTGGCAGACATTGGTAATATCTTGTAGTTTAAATTCAAACATGTGAAGAAGTTATTTAGATAAAAATGGATCTGAAGAAAAAAGGTGATCTTAATGCTTTGATGAATGTCAAGTCTGTGGTTTGTTGAATTAATACCATAGATATGGAAAAAAACTTACAGTTTCAAATCCTGATACAGATACATGTTTCTACCAAGAAAAAGTTCGTGTAAATAATTTGAGAGGAATAATGATCAAACGAAGAGAAGATGGAATGAAATTTTGAAAGTACCTTGAATAACAAAAAAAAGTTCCAGATAGGTTTTTTACTAAAAGATTTTATCATTGTAATAATATTTATAATTCATTTTTGTTGTTGAAATTACAGGTATTTTACAAGGTACTTCTCAGCTTCTATTTTGTTTTGATGAATCTGAAGTAAGGAAGATAATCCGTACCTGTAAAGGTGTACTGGAATACCTGGCTATTACAGAAGTTGTGGATAGTATGGAGGACTTAGTAACCTTTGTAAAGGTATACTTCAGTTATAAACAGTTTCAAATGGTGACATGATAAGTTAGGGTAATAACAAATTAAAATATAATGATAGTAATGTCAATTAGTCACTGAATTTACTTAGTTTGGTTCTGTTAATTTGATTGAAATACATCAAGCAAGTAATAAAAATATACCAAACATAAAGTGGTCGAATTAAAAATTGCTTTTGCTGGTGTATAGTGAACCACTGTAAAACCAGGGGAATACTGGTGTTTGAGTGTTAAATAATGATGATTTACAACTACGGCATTGAATATCTATACAGAGATACAAAATTTTCTTCAGAGTGAATGACTAACAGTAACCACCATTCCTGTGAAAAGTCACAACCAACTTTGATTTTTAACTGAATCACCATGTTTGGACTGTATTGTATCAATTGTTGAAGATAAAATGTAGACTCAGAACGCCTTTATTGGGAAGGCCAAAACAAAAATTGTACTTGTTTACTGTTACCCAACCTACTTTAATTCAGCCCCTATCCTAAATTTTTTTTACAGTTTTAAATTATGCACTATGAAGGTCATAATGTTTCACAAATAGACTCAAGATCAAAAATTTGTTAAAAAAAAAATCCTGACCCATAGACCCTGATTTTTTTCCATCATTAAACAAATGTATAGTTTTGGGGCAACTTTATTATTGGGTTGCACTATTACTCTTATTGATATTATGTTATTTTGTGTTTTAGAACTTAAGTCCAGTATTAACTAACATGACAAAGCTTGTGGATGGTCGAGAAAAGGAACTAACACATCAAGTTCATCGTATGATGCTAATACGTTCTTTGGATGAAGTTAAGAATTTAACACCAGTCTTAATCAGTGCCGTCAAGATGTTTATTACTGCCAAACACACAAGTAGGTCTATATTTAATACAGAATAACAACCTGTGTTAACAATTCTAGTGAAGACCTTTGAACTTTGGTGGATAGTTGTCTCATTGGCAATTATACCACTTCTCCTTATGTTTATATTTAACATTCTTTATAATTTAAGTTGTCTTAAATAAACCCCTTTAAGGATGGAAATCCTAAATTGGCTAAATTTTGTTTCATTTCACAGTTTTTAGTGAACAATTTTTTTTTATTCAGATTCAAACTCATTTTAGCAAAAGCAATTTTATAAAACTCCAGAAAATAAATCTCTTTGCTAATACATGTGAGAGTATTTTTCAGAAATTCTGAAAAGTAACTTCAATAAAAAAAATTCATATGACTTTTGAAATGTTTTTAACATTATAACAATATTGATAGTGCCAGTCATTGATGAATTTTCTCTTGGTAAGTAGCATGGAGTTAATAAGCATAAAACATCTGGTTCATCTTTTAGGATAGCCCATACAAGTGGTCAAGTCCCACCCCTCCCTGAACTTGGGCTCATATGATAAGGCAACTAGAACAATATATGATATAAAAAAAGAATCAAAGAAATTGTTAGTTTCAATAATATTTTCTGACAAGGGAGTAGTTCCCTGTATTAAGAAAATGGATATGTTTTAATAGATATGAATAAATGTATTAATATTTGTTCATTTGGTATATTAAGCTTAAGTTTTTTTTTAACCAAATAGTACATTTAATTTAATAAGCATTCAGGAAGACTTAAAAGTTAGGAAGTGAGATTTCTGGAACTTTTCTTTTACCAAAAGTGTTTGAAATTTTAAAAATTTCTGATATCTCTGGATTATTCTTTTAACATGAGATTTTACTTAGATAAGATTGAGTTGTCCCTCTTTGTTTAGAGATTAATGAATATGTTTCTTTTCATTATGAATTTATCTGTATTTACTGAATCAAGGTTTAGCTTGTCCTATAGAAGAAATATTTCTAGAGCCTACAAATCTTTTAAATCATCAGCAAATCTACATTAGACCACTTTCATATTCATGCATTTTCCTGTACATTTCCTATGTCACAATGCTTATGTTATTATCAGTCAGGGGCGTTACTTAAACAAGTTATTTTTTTTAGTTACTTATATAGGTCATATTTGTTTGTAAAAAATATAAAATTACTCATTAGAGTTATTTTAAATTTTAATAGAATCATTGACTAAATGTAGTTTTCATGAATTTTTACATCATTTTATATCATAAAATTAAGAATTTATTAAATTTGAGAGGAGTATAGAGATAAAGGGTTACTTTAAAAATAATGACAAAAATATTACTTGAATAAGTTATTTTATACATCATTGAAAGAACTAGTAATTACACTTATTTAAGGAACATATGTAATTGTTTTGGGTTACATATTATAAATAACTTCAAGTCTTAACTAAATCACAAGTTTCTATCTATTTATATCTGTCTACCTTCAAGATTTTCAATGAAAATGATATTTTAATAGTCCCAAAAGACCAATCTTTGACCCAGAAGCGTCGATATGAAAGATAAGTGCGTCAGAAAGGCAATTAGTGTTTCAGAAGGATTAGATTTTATATTTCTTGGGAAAAATAACCAGATGACTGTGAAAATTTGTTAAAGATAGTAAAATCTGTATAATTGGACACCCATAAAAATAATATTTAGAAAAATTACTTATATAAGTAATATTTAAAATAGCCTCGTTTTCAACATTACTTGTATAGGTAATTTTAAAAGTTACTTGTTTAAGTAATGCCCCTGACTGATTATGCCACAGTAAAAGTCATTTGTCCAATGACATCATTTATGCTGATTGACCTCTCATTTATGTTGATTGACCTCAGGTCAACCTGTGTAACTAAATCATAAAAAAGAACTCAAAATTGGTATATGGCTAAGTTAATTTGGTATGTCAGTGTTCTAGAATTCCCATTTCCCGTCACCCGTGGCAAGTTGATTTAGGTCATGGGGAAAGTGGAAATTCAAACCTTTGTTGTCCGTGGGCAAGTAAAATTAAATTACAGAAACCTCCTATTAATGCAGATCAAACGGTCGATGAAACAATTGTGTTCTTTTATTTCAATCAAAGTTTCAAAGCAAGATCGTTGTTGCTGGTGTAAATCATGCAGGGGTTCTAAAGTCGAGGGAAGAGAAACGTGCACACGTGTTTCGTTATCACCGTCATAAATACGCTTGGTAGCTAAACAAGGGAAATCTGCGATTTCAAGTATCCATCTGATCTAGACACAAAAAAACAATTATCCGGAATGCAAACGGTAAAAGATTTTAATATCCAGATCTCTCTTTTTTTTCTTTTTCTGATTTTTTGTGTGTTATATTATCACTTTTTTGTGCCAATACATTCGAATTACTGATGTTATGTCACAAATAGACATGGGTCAAACTAAAATTAATATGTTTCAAAATAAAAATAATATATTCCATCAAATGTTTTGTATATCTGGATGAACATGACCAAGATGACATTACATTATCAACACAATCACAAGCTAGTTAGACAAACTTATTAATTTCAAAGGAAATGACAGAGTTCATAATTTCAAATTGAACTACATGTATAAACATGCAGTGAAAGGAATAACAAAATTATGAAAACATTTCAAAATAGTATAAAATTAAGGGAAAGTTCATTAAACTTGTGGGAAAGTGAATTTTTTATACCAACTTACCCGTTGAAAGTTGCAGATGTATTAAAATCCTAGAACACTGTAAGTGATTATACTTTTAAATCCTTGTCACTTGTGAATTTTGTATGTGTTTTAACTGTCAACATTGTATCCTTATGTTTATATGAAAAAAGTAGCATACTGCCATAGCTAATAAGCCAGGATAGAGATTTGCAATGCAGTATAGAATATGTGAAAAACAGTGATTCAACAAATGAAAAATGACAAAGATTGATATACCTTTAAGTAAGAATATAACTTTCAAATGGAGATTGATGAATATATTTCATTAATGAAGTTGTACAAAAACAAAACACTGTTATGTAAAATGGCTAATTGCAATCAGTTTCTTTACAGAATCGTGTACAGCATGTTTAGATTTTTTAGTAGCCAGATTTAGTTGTTTTGACTGTAGATGAACCTTGTTTTGTTTAACAGAACAAATTATTTTAAAGGTTTTAAATAGTTTCTGACCCTTTTAATCAGGAAGATTTATTGTTGATCTGCTTTCTATTTTATTGGTAAAAAACAAGAGGTGCTTAACCTAACCTGTTGGTATTATGTAAACCACACATCAAAATGTTTCAATACGTAAAATGAGCTTAAGTTTTTGAATGGCTGTTTTAATATTAAACTAACAATAATTACAAGAAACTTGAGCAGAGTTTATTTAATATCACCCAGAAATAGCTGTTCCAATTTTGTACTAAACTTTTGTACTAAATTATTTATTGCTAAATTACTAAAATTAGCAACATAAGTCTGGTATAAAATGAATTCTAAGGCATTTACATTGAACAAAATAAGGAATATGAAATCTTTAGATGCATATGAGTGTTATTCTGTTTAATTTGTTTTATTTAGTTAATTTTGTTACACATCCTAATTTTAGTTTCTTATGTTTTTTTTTGTTTTTATTGTTTTAATTATCTATTTTTTCTATTCTTTGTGCTTCTTTTTGAAGCATACATGTTTTCTTTATACACTTATTTACCTAATTTTCAGTCAGCAGTAATTACTGTATTTTTTTTTTTTCTAATGCTAATGCATTTTTTTGGTTTGATCAGCCTTAATGTTGATATGAATTTGTTACCTAATTAAATTTACTTTGCCATGTTGATCTTATTTTGATTGAAGAATTAAATCTAATTCAATGTTTTATAATAGATGCTGGTGCCCCAGAAGCTCAGTCAAACAGAGATTACATTGTACGTAAGATGTCTGACGAGGTACAGGAAATAATCCGTGTCCTACAGCTGACGACGTACGATGAAGACGAATGGGATGCTGATGACGTCACTGTCATGAAGAAATCAGTTGTTAGTATTATCACTCAATAATTTAATTTTGGATGTAACGCGTCTTCTGATTGGCTGACGTTGTTTTGTTTATCAGCTCATAGACATAATTTTGTCATGTGACCGTGACGTCATCAACGTTTTTTCATGGTTTACTCCGGTTTAAAATGGAATTTAGAATTAAATTATAAGAAATGACTGTAATATTTTTTCTGTCTATTCGAAATAACATAAAAAATGTGGTGCACACTTTAAAATAACCCGCTACGCGGGTTATTCAGTGTGCACCACATTTTTGATGTTATTTCTTCATAGACAGAAAAAATATTACAGTCATTCCCTAATTTATTTCCTTTCAAGGCCCATGATAATCAAATTTTTTTTTATGGTAATTTGATGAAAAGAACAGTTACTAAGTCAATGATAAAGGACTGTTTACTTTGTGTAATTATTTGATTGTAAAGACACGTGGAAGTACAAAAATTGCATATTAAATTCAAGATTGGAATGGTAGGAGTATCTTTGAGAATTTCATCAGGTTGTATATGTGAATTGTAATAGCAGAACCTTTTTTAAGGTTAAGAAAGGGGCCTCGGTGGCCGAGTGGTCTAAGTAGTTGAACTACTGTTTCACTAGCCTGTCAACACTCAGGTTGTGAGTTCGAATCCTGCATGTGGCAGGTGCACTCCACTTCAATCTTAATTGACTAGGATTGTCAGTTTTCCTACCAAAGGTCGGTGGTTCTCTCCAGGCGCTATGGCTTCCTCCACCAATAAAAAAAACTGACCGCCACAAAATAGCACAATAGTGCTGAAAGTGGCGTTAAACACCGATCAATCAAGGATTGAATTTTTTTAATTTTGTGGATAGATGTCATCAACATAATTAAACCCCAACAGTAAGTTAACATATCAGGAATATTACTTTGAAAAATTGAAAGCAGTGTAAATAAATTCCAATGAACAAAATTTTAGAGACAGAAACACAAAGTTCTAACATGAAGGAAATTAATGTTTCTGCCGTATTATGTAAAAATAGTGTGAAACATTAAAAGGATTTAGAAGTGTATACTGTGAAAGTACTTTTATTCGTGAGGTACCAATTTTTTGTGGTTTTCTAGGATGGCTTTATCCACAAATTTAAGTGTCCAACTAAATATAACAACTATTGTCCAAATCAAGACATGGAAAGATCTCCATGTAGGTTTGACTACATGGATACGGGCATATAATCTAGAGAATACATCGAATATCAGCAAACGCACAATGAACTACATATACAACTACAGACAGGATTTTACCCATTTAATCTTTATAAAACCTAAACTGTACAACTTTTAACCTTTCAGAGCTATTTTCCTAATGCTTGTAGTTTAAAGGTTTGGTTGGCTTACTTGCTTTGTTTGTATAAATGTTTGCTCAAGCATTGTAATTAGGATTACATCTGCAATCAATAGATAGGCGGGGCTTCAGCTTGTTTACATTATACTCTGCATTATACTTTACATCCAATAACATTCAGGACTAATGTATACACAAGCTGAAGCCCCGCCTATCTATTGATTGCAGATGTCAATCTTAATTACAGTGCTTCAAAGCAAGCAAGCCAACCAAACCTTTGAACTACAAGCATTAGGAAAATAGCTCTAATTCTCATGAAAAATTAGTTTTGATCCAATAAAGTCAGACTACCGGTGATGATATGCGATGATGACGTGTTCATTTTATCTCCTCATAATTCTTATACGAAAAAAAATCATATTGGGCTTGCTTTTTTTATTTCATACGAATTAATTCTACAATTGGAATTACATTTGTAGCATTTTTTATGTTATGGTTTTTTTTTAAGTGACATGTTTATGACCCAATTAAGGTAGCACTACAGTCTAACAATGATTTTTTGAGATATTTTTTTTTATCACATAATTTTAAAGTAAGTATCATTCTGCACATTTTGTAAAAATCCCAAAGTCGTTATCATATTACAACAGGGAGTAAATTGATAATGAACTTATGTAAATAAAAGCACATGGTAATTACTCTAAATATATGGGCATTTGGGAGGGGCTAATATGTCAATCATCTGTTGATACCAGTGTCCAGCTGTTAATCCCTGACCACAAGATAAATATTGTGGTCTTATCTCACTGTGTTACAACAAAAGTAATTAATATAACCATGGAAGTAAACAGAGAAAAGGAAAAAGATATGACTAGGAAAAAATCTACCAAAATGAAAAAAAAAAACTATGGATAAGAGTGTGAAAGTATCTTTGAAAGCCTCTGACAAAGGTTCTTACTACAAACAAGAAGAATATGTCTCTGAATCTTCTACATCTAAATGATGAGCGTGTCTTCTGTTAGGAGTTTTAGGCATTTTAACCAATTTTAAGTTTATGTGAAATTTTTCAATTCCATAAAACTAAAAAATCATGTGGGACATTCTATTTTCAGGAAGGGGATGGTCTTGATCTTTTTATGAACATATCTTTTATTGCATAATTTTAATGTTCTAGCTAATTTCATAGTATATTTCTTTTTAAAATACAAATGAAAATTATTCTTTATAGTGAGAATGATGATGTTAAATATTGATTATATGCAGCTGGTCAATCCTGTTATTCTCTTATCTTAGACTGTCTGGACAGAGGCGGAGCTTTGTCTATATTTCATTACTACATTACAGATGTTGGTCAAATCTGTGACGTCAAACTCCCGCCAAATGCCAAGTTAGTGTTGGACTGTGCACACATAATGCAAAATTTACAGTCTAAGAGTATCACAGACATAAACTGTGTGGTTCTTTTGATAAAATAGTGGTGTCATAACACTCCTGGGGTGTTCCCAGTGGAATTTTTGTATTTATGTTGCATTTATAGGGGTTCTAAGGGGGAAATTCAGTTTTTATGTGATTTCTCAGAACAATTTTTCATGAGAATTGTTAGCAAAAAATGAAAATAGAAACTTTATGGGTACCCTCTTTGGTTTGGCTTTGATATATGTGATTAAATGGAGTATTTACTACAATACCATGTCCCAGTTTTTGGATAATTTGTTTCTTAATGAATTTATAGGTCTCCAAAGATGAAAGGTGAAATGAGGTTTGGCACCCAGCAGTTAAATCAATATATCTTCTTACTGGAGGCATATATCAAAAATCTGAGACATGGTTTTGTAGCTTGTGTATGGTTGATTAAAGGGATGAAAACAAATTTTTACTACCATTTGACCTAAATGTGCCATTTTCATCTAAGTTGGAAGACCACTTTTTTGGCAATTAATGAGCTATATTTTTAAATTAATCATACCAAAAATAAATTTATCTATAAATTAAGAAAGAGTAATATTTCAGCTTTAAAATGAATTAAAGATTTTAAAAATCCATTGAGAAGTTTTGGAGAAATTAATCTTTAAAGACTGTTGGTTGGAGTCAGAAAATTCTGACTGTAGTGCTACCTTAACACCTGTGATGTTTGTTAATCTGTTGAATATTCGATCTCGGGTTAATAAGTGTCATCACTTATGATGACACATGTGCAACAATCAAAATGTTAACTTTGCAATTTTCTTCAATCAAGACAATTTATAAGCATAGATGACTAAACTTATTTAAAAAAGCAATTATTTAATTAAAAATTTCATGAATGTTGTAAGTAATGAAAGACGAACAAGTAAGTGAAAATGGACACATTATTTTGCAATATCCTACAAATCATTATAAAACAACATATGATTACTATTAAAATTTTTCGTTTCTAATTTTTTTCTTCAGAAAACTAGAATTCACAAATTTAAGAACTCACGAACATGTAACTTTTGCTCAAACCACGAAAATTGATACCCACGAATTACAGTACTTTCACAGTATGTAACTCTGACAGTTTGATCAAGCAATATCATAACATCAAAATTTGATATGCAACGTTTTCTGGTCAAATATTTGTCATTCATTGTGACAAATTATTTTCAGTACTATACTTTGTGACAGCAAAAAGTTCTCTAGGTTTTTTTCGGATATCTTCATATGTCCTTCCTTAACAGTTTATACTCTGCATAAAGAAGTTTTCGTTTATAAATATGATCCATAAAAGATTGTGTAATATATGCTTGATTGATAAAGAAGCTATATAAGTTTTTAAGGCTAATCTAGAATTATTTATTAAGAATGATATACTATATATTTTATTTCTACTCTTTTTGAATGATACAAATATTAAGCAAAGATTGTTATAATTTGTGAAATATTTATATTTAGAATGCTATAGAACAAAAGATGAAGCCAGCTTTTGATTGGTTAGCTGATCCAGCAGCTTTAGTTGGTAGCTCAGGTATGGATAGAATATATGCCCAGGTTTCTTCTTAGGGCTATTCCAGGGTAAAAAAACAAATCTATTACAATTAAAAGTAAAAATTATGAGTGGTGGGGTATATAAAAAACTGTTCTCTACCATACATTTTCCCCTGGAATAGCCCTAACCAGATTGATCCTACTATAGGTGCATAGCATAAGCTTAATATGGCCATTGATTATCAAGCATTGCAAAGGTTGATTGATTGATTGATTGATTGTTGCTGTTTTAACACCACTTTTAAGCGCCACATATGGGCTTTTTCGTGGCAGCCAGTTTTTATTGGTGGAGGAAGCCAGAGTGCCCGGAGAAAACCACGACCTTCGATAGGAAAACTGACAATCCTAGTCAATTAATATTGGAGTCGAGTGCACCCGCACGAGCAGGGTGCGAACTCACAACCTCAGTGTTGACTGGCTAGTGATTACAGTAGTAGAACTACTTAGACCACTTGGCCACCGAGGCACCGCAAAGGTTGAGATGTGAACAGTGTAGAACCTAGGATAAAATAAAAAAAACAAACTAAAAAAACTAGCTTACCTATCTACCTGTCAGTCTCAATTGTTTCAAACATGTCAGTGGAAGCACAAGTATTTTTTTTATTTAGCAAATTAAAGAGAGAGTCCTAAACTGTATCTTGCATAAGGAATATAATAGCATCTATAAAGACCTTCCTGAAAACCTGCATATTTTAATCTTTTTGAAATAGGTGACAAGGCTCTAAGTCAGATTTTAGAAGATGCTCGTAAAGTTGCTGAGAGATGTACAGACCCTGCTGATAGGGATCGAATTCTTAAAACTGTAGGAGACATTGACTCTATGAAAAATGCCTTGTCAGAACTCAGAGTTCAAGGAAAGGTAAGAAAATCCTTAAAACTGTAGGTGACATTGATTTTATGAAAAATGCCTTGTCAGAACTCGGGTTCAAGTTAAGGTAAGAGAATGCTAATATTGACAGGAAAATATATAATGCAAATGTAACCTTTAACTCTGCTTAGTATGTGTTCAAAATATATTTATTATGTGAACATTTCAAATATAAGGTCATTTACCATGAGTAAACTTGTAACTGTAAGCAAAGTTTCCATAACCTTTTAATTATAATGTATAAAAAAGATTACAGATTAATGCAATTTTCAAGTTGTCATATTCTATCCAAAATGTACAATTTAATGTTATGAAAAATAAATTCAAGTCACATGTACTATTTTTATATGTTTCAAAAGTAGGCAGTAATTTGAAATATTTGGTGTGCTTGTCTGTTTTTGAAAAATGAATAAAAGTGAAATGTTTGGTAATAGTCAATAAGACAATGGGACTGCAATCAATAAATTTGCATAGTATAAAGTATCATTTTAGAAGTTTTATTTTGTTTGTAGGGAAGCAGCCCTCAGGCCATGTCCCTTGCCAGAGAAATACAGAATAAGTTGAAGGATCTTCAGAATCTAACACAAGCAGGAACCATGAAAACAGAAAGGTCTGGCATTCGTAAACCTGCACCAACAGTAGAAGGCAAGGTAGAACAAGCAAGGCAATGGTTGGCAAATCCTGCATTGGATGATAGAGGTCTAGGTTAGTTGACTTTTTTGGTGTTGTCCAATTACTGGCTATTTCTCTCTCCATCATAGGATCAGGAGCTTTATCAGAAAAAACATCTTTAATGTAAACTTGGACAAATTCATTATAAAATGCTAGAAAGGAGAAAGTGAATTTGGTAAAAAAAATATGCTAAAAACTAATATATATCAATCTCTGATTTTTAGAATTAATTGCTGAATATATGCATTTTAATAAAACATTATGGTTTTAAAATTACACTTTAATGGGTTACAAAATCTTAACACCAAAAACTATATTTACCTTCTCCTTTTGGAGACATAAAAATATTTTTGTGAATTGGAATATTCTATTAATGATAGACTTGAAATAGTAGTTAAATATTTATAAATTACCAGTACACATTTTTTTTCTGAATAGTTCTGAAGAAATAATCGCTCTCAGTAAAATTTCAAAATATTATATTAATATATTTTCAAATGATCGTTAAGACTGAAAAAACTTGTACATTGAAAAAATATGTTTTCCACAGGTGAACAAGCAACTAAACTAGTTGTAGCTGAAGGTCGTAAGGTTGCTGACTCCTGTACTGGGCCCCAGAGATCTGAATTATTGAGACTTTGTGATGAGACAGAGATACTGACTAATCAGCTATCAGATCTTATCAGAAGAGGACAGGTACTTTCCTTTTGACTTCAGGTTTTATTAGGTTTGCCTTACAACTATTATAATTATAGCTCTTGTCTCAATAGAACCTTTCTACATTTTAAGCAATCATCATTAAATTCAGCGCTTACAGATTTTTGCATTTTTCTTTGTTGTGTTATAAATAATTTGCCAGAAAATTTCAACCCTTCAAGTATTTCCCCAAATCAGAGAATTTTAACTATTCATCTCAAGGGATATCCTTTGATACATATTTCATTGGTAAGAGGTAAAGAAAATAAAATTGAGGTTATAGTGTTAACAATAAAAACACCTTCTGTCATAATATTTCTTTAACCAATTACATACATACTATTCCCCTGTATGAATATTTGCAAGGATATTTATATACCTTGCTAACAGTTTTTTCTTCAGTATTGTGAAGCATCCTTACATCATAATCAAGTTTCTTCTTAAACAGATAACACGCCTATTTAGTATTTTCATATCATTTATAATCATGTATATAAGTATGCTTACCATTAGTACTTTTGAAAGATAGTACATGAAAATTTTAGAGTATGTCTTAAAATCGCTATGTTTGATGAAATGTTGTATATATATTATTATTTCAGGGTGATTCTCCTCAAGCTAAAGCCATAGCTAGACAACTTACTGAGAAACTTCACAACCTTCAGGCTAAAATCCAGGAGGCACTTGTTAATCAGGTAATGACTTATTTTTTTTTAAAACGTATATTTAAACATTTTTGGTGTTGCTTAAATCGACGTCACTTGTATTTAGTTTATTGGTTTAAATGTCAATTTGCCTAAGAATTGGACATTTGATAGAAACATTGTGAAAAAAAGCAAAACAAAACAAAATCAACTAAAGTAGAAGGTACTATGTTGATCTCTTTAATTTGAAAATCACAAAGTATTATTAATCTATCAAATAACATCATACACAGGTTCACAAGACATTAGTGGCCTAGATATTGGTCATGATATTATTTTGTCATAGATTATGTGGTTTTGGACACTAAAAATTTTACATGTATCCCAAAACTACTAAAACTGTCTCATTTTGAGATCTACTCTTTACATGTAAAGATATAAGCACCAGTCTTTCCCAGAAGTCAGTCATAATTTCATGCTTTTGTCATTTTGACGTGTTATCCAGTGTGGTATTATAGTTACTGTAAAGTGGTTCATTTTCAGGGAGATTAAATTTTGCAATTTTAAAGGTCCAACCTGTTTGCAGGGTTTCTCTTTTGCTATTTTCTTGTCCCTAACTTATTGTTCTAAAAGATCAAATTTATATGAGGGAATATTTACATGATTTTATCATAATTGTGAAATTAGCGAAAATAAGTCCCTTGCAAAAATTTCCTACTTTCCAGTACTTTAAGCATAACATAATTTATAAATACAAGACTTTTTACACTGATATATAATGATACAGCCTGTATTTATCCTCACAGGTAGCAGAAGACTTTATAGATATAACAGGACCACTTAAACAACTTCATGATGCTGCACTGACACCACTAGGTAAGATCTGGTGTATAATAATCAAAAGTATTCATGGACAAAGTACTGTCATTAGACTTGTTTAGGACTATTCATGGAATAAATATATGGGTTGGGGGGTCAGACACCAAAGATGTTTTTTGCTGAGGGTAAAGGGGATGGAAGCAAATATAATTCTGTTACAAATGAAAATAAAAGTTGTGGGTGATGGTTTATAAAAAAAAGTGTTCCTCCTATATTTTTTTCCTGGAATAGCCCTTGTACAATATATAGATTAAAGGAATAAACCAAAGCTAGGATTAGATAAACCAAAATAATGTTTCTTTGTTCCGCTTCTTCATATTCATTTGCTTAATGTAAGGGGAGACCTTTAAAACAAATATTAGGTATAACCAAGAAAAGTAGACATTTCAACAGACCACAACAACAGCCAACACTTGATTCCTCCAAGAATATAGACAGACATACAAACAGATGAACAGCAAGAAACAACACATGGTACAGATAGCCTGACTTGGTACAGGCACACAATGAGGTGGGGTTAATGCCAAACAAATATTATGTCACTCTAGGTTACACTCAAATTGAACCGACCAGTGTTAAGAACAATGGTTGACATTTGGTTTTTTTTGGAAGTTATCAGAAAGTTTGCTTGTGTTTTCAGGTGTTCCAGGAAGGGAGGAGAAATTTGATGATAGAGCTAGGAACTTTGAATCTCATGCTTCTAAACTGGCTGACACTGCCAACATGGTTGCCACAGCTGGTGGCTGTAACAACAAACATACAGTTCAAGAAATCTTCAAAACTTCTAATCAGGTAAAGTAAACTGGTTCTGAGCTAACACTGTACAGTAGTCTTTTGCTGTAGTTATATATTTTAAACATGATCCATTAGATGTAAACAAATAGCTTTTGAAATTATTCAAGTTTTCATTTTTTGAAGTCAAATAAGTTTGAAATACACATTTATATGATCTCTGCAGATATTTCAATTAATAATCTTAATATGATTTAACAAGTTCAAACAGATTTTGGAGCCAGAGCCTGTTATTCAGTGGTTGTCATTGATTCATGTCTGTCATATTTATTTTTCATAAATTGTTTTGTTATAAATTAGGCCGTTAGTTTTCATATTTTTCATGGCGGGGCCTTTTGTAGCAGATTAAACGGTATAGGTTTTTCTCATTGTTAAAGGCGGCATGGTTGCCTTTAATTACTTACATCGACTTCATTTGAACTTTGGTGGATAGTTGTCTCATTGGCATTTATACCACATCTCCTTATTGTTGTACAGTATTGTCTGGTAATTCCACCCGTCCGGTAAACCCACCCACATCCATTTACTTCCGTAATTGTCACTTCCATGAATATTTTGTCTGCCATTTTATTCATAGGAAATGTACTTATCATTACTGCATGTCAAATTTTAAAGAAAATCCTTTATTACGAAAATATCTAGTGATATATATAAAACAGTTCCTAAAGCTAACGATAATCATATTATTGCTTACAAAACTCATTTCTGACTTTTAATTTATTTATTTTTTCGATTGTATGGAATCCCTTTATAAGTTGTCTCTTAATAGATCACCTTTTCCTTTCATAAAAATGTGATAACTGGCCCTACATACATATTTACTGCCCATGGGCGGATTTACCGGACGAACACATTTCCGATAAAAACACAGATGACCCACTTGTTTTGTTGATTTTAAGATTTATTTCAGATATTTTTTGGGAAATGAGATAAACTTCTCAAAATTGATTTGTCAGTGAATCGATTTATATTAAATTTGATACAATTTGTATATAATTAAGCAGAAATGCATAGGATCAAAGCCTTATGTGGGTGGATTTACCAGACTGCATCGTATCAAAAGCATTTTTTATTATAATATCCTGTAAGTACTTATTTTGAATTTTATATTTCTTAATATTATAGGTAAATGATCTGACACCACAAGTGATCACCGCAGCCAGAGTACTATTTGCAAATCCAAACAATCAGGCTGCTATAGAACATTTTGATCAGATGAAGAATCGCTGGGCTGGTAATGTTGAGAGACTAAGAGCTCTTGTTGATGAGGCGGTGGATACTCCTGCCCTTATTAAGGCTGAAGGTAAGTTAAATATACCTTATAGTATTTATTGGTGTGTTTAAATTCATAGAAAACTCTAATTGTGTTGCTGAATTATATTTTATTCTTACGCTCAGAGAAAGAATTGATTATGAATTTAAGTTATACTAAAATATTTTGTTTTTTATTATTTTAAAAAAGTCAAGGTTTTAGCGAGGAATGAATTACAATAGCTGTATTTGGCAAACTCTTTTGGAATTTTGGTTCCTCCATGCTCCTAGGCTTCATACTTTATTTGGGCTTTCAATTTAATTTATTTCGAGCATCACTGGTAAGTCTATTGTGGACAAGGCATGTGTCTGGCATACAAAATGTAGGCCTGGTATCTTCGATGAATTGTCTTTATTTATACCCATTTGTATAGTTCAGTAATATTTATTTAACTCCATCTTAATTTTATAGAAAAACATTGTATCAATTATATAGACATTGTATAATTTTGTTTTACAGAGGAAGGTATTTTAAGAGACACTGATCGGGTTGAAGAAGGTATCCGAGGCAAAGATCCACCAAAGATTGTGGCAAATGCTTCAAACATTGCCCGACGAGCTTACAGAGTATTACAAGTAGGAGAGAAGGAAGTAGAAAATAGTGAAGATCCTGCCTACATTGACAGGGTTAGAGACTCTGCCAATACACTAAGAGATAGTAAGTTTTATCACTTATACCTTCAAATATCAAGGTTGAACAGAATATGATTAAGTTAACTTGACACAGTTAAATATTAACTCTGTAGCAACAAAGATAGCTTTATATGAACAGGTTTCGTTACCTGAACAGTTGGATTTCATGCTATAGACAGGTCCAGTTACCTGAACAGTTGGATTTCATGCTATAGACAGGTCCAGTTACCTGAACAGTTGGATTTCATGTTATAGACAGGTTCAGTTACCTGAACAGTTGGATTTCATGCTATATACAGGTCCAGTTACCTGAACAGTTGGATTTCATGCTATAGACAGGTCCAGTTACCTGAAGAGTTGGATTTCATGCTATAGACAGGTTTAGTTACCTGAACAGTTGGATTTCATGCTATAGATCTAGACAGGTTCAGTTACCTAAACAGTTGGATTTCATGTTATAGACAGGTTCAGATACCTGAACAGTTGAATTTCATGTTATAAACAGGTTCAGTTACCAGAACAGTTAGATTTAATGCTATAGACAGGTCCAGTTACCTGAACAGACAAGTTAAGTTACCTGATTTCATGTGTAAGACTGGTAAATTAAGCAATTGTCTTTGAACCTCTTTTTTTTTTTATTACAATAAAACCATACAAAATAATAATGTAATTGCAGTAAAATTACAACACTAGTACAAATGTTTAAATCACTGTTGAATAGTTTGTAAAATTATCTTTTTCAGCAATAACACCAATGGTACAACATGCAAAGAACTTGTCCATGAACCCTGGTGATAGTAATGCTGCCACAAACTGGAGGAAAGCTAACCAAGCTGTGAGTATTGGTTGTTTTGTATTACATATGGTATGGTGGTCAGAAAGAGGGGGTAGGGAATTCTAAAAAATAGCTGTGATGTTTAAACTGGAGAAAAGATTATAAGGACAAAGTAATGGTTGTAACTTCTTGCTTTGAAGTTCAAAAATCAATATGAAATATTGATTTGGTGGAATTATGCACCTTTGAAAAATAAATCATATGGAAAATCATTAAATGAATTCTAACACATATATCTCATAGCTGAGATTAATAAGATTTTTGTCAAAAGTTAATATCAGCTATTTATCAGAAGGGTAGGAAAGTCAGCATGGTTTGAATATATTTGGCCAAGTTATTCCCATTGGAAATTGTACATTTAAAGTACTCTAGAATGTACATTTCTCTTTGTAGTTTTAATGAAATTAAAGTAATTAAAAAAAAAAAAATTAAAGGTTTACATCAGCAATATCTCCAATATTTTAAAATTGGCAAGGATGGATTTGTATTTGAGAGTCATGTCCAAACAAATCTGATATGGCAAATTCCAGTATATAGACCGGGAACATTGGCTACTGTATAGCTATCTTGTTAATGTAGACACATCACAAAAGACAACTTTTCAGAAATCATTGGACCAAAGCAAGTTTGAACTGGTTTGAATATGTCATTGCAGAGAAAATTATCATGAGGTCATCAAAATTTCTTGTATGTTTGACACCTGGTGCAACTTTATCGCTATTTTACGAAATTTTCCTTTGATCTTGCTGACTGATAATTTCCTTTCTCAGCGGAGTCAAGTGATATGAAAAATTATCGCTAGAAACTAAGTGGGTATGTGGCGTTGTCAATGAAATTGACTAACGTCGTCATAGGTAAAATAGCAATAAACAGATTATCATTGGTCATCTCAACTTGATTGCTTTTCTCACTTTCGCCGTACCGGCTCAAGCGAGAAAATCAATCTCGTTGAGATGATCAACAATAATCTATAAGAAAATGTTGATTCAAAGCGTGATATCTTGACATTAAAATCTCTTAAAGTGTCAAAATCAAATTTTCGGTTTAGTTAATGAGATATTTGATATACATTAGAAAGTACTGAAAACTTTGATGCAATAAGAACAGAAATTAACATATGGCAGATTGTTTGGAACAAGGTGTTTTAAAAGGATTTGAACTAAGTTATTCTGATAATTTTGAAAATACTCCAACTTCATTTTAATGCCTTTATTTAAATTTCTTTTATTAGAATAAATGATTTTCTCTTATTCTAGTGCAACACAACAAATTTTTGGTATTATTGATGATTTAATAAATCAAATCAAATCAAATCAAATCAAATATTTTATTGTCTTATAAACTTTACAGTTTGTGACCAACATGTATTAACACAATAAACATATATACATACATATCAAACAAACACAATAAAAACAGCATCAAAATTTATAAAAACAAACAAGTTGTTAAGAGTCCCCTGCCCTCAGTTCTAATGACTTTTTCAAGAAGGATCCTAACTTATTTGTTTGTAAAGGCGTTGATGGATTTAGTAAATAATGAATTTTTTCTTCTTCATTTAAATTATCAAAGTTATTATTTTCAGTACATATGTGTTCAAAAAAGGCATTTCTTAGTGTTTTATTATAATCACAATAGAGTAAAAAATGTTTCTCATCCTCTAGTATTTTACATTTATGACAAAGTCGTTCCTCTCTTGGGATTTTAAAATATCTCCCCTTTTCAATTAAGAGGGAGTGATCACTTAGTCTAAATTTAGTGATCAATCTCCTTACCTGAAAATTAGATATATTTAGATAAGATTCTAGTTTGCAATCCTTTTTAAGTTTTTTATATAGATAAAATTTACTTTTATCATCAATGTTTTCAAATTTAGTTTCAATTAAATCTTCATATCTATTTTTCATTTTTAACTTTATATCGTTTTTATTTTATTTACATCTTTTATGTCCTTACAATTAGAAAAAATATTAAGGTCAATATTAGTCTCTTCAACAATATTTTTTGCATATGTATACCATGAATAAGTTCCAGTCAAATCTAGAGACTGTGCTAGAGAAAAAGCTTCCTTTATCAATGGATTAATATTATTATTATATAGTCTAGCTAAATATAAAAGGGTTTGTGTTTTAATAAAACATTCTATAGGCAATCTTCCTAATTCAACTCTTGCTCCTAAATTGGATGCATTTTTTCTTATTCCTAGAGTAGATTTACAAAATTTAAGATGCATATTTTCAATAGGGGTTTTGTCTGTAAAATCAAGTTGATTAATTTGTTTTCCTGAAGATAAGGCTCTGTTTTTGGCTCTATGAAAAGAAATGTATGTATCCAAATATGTTACTTCTGAATTATAGGTCATAATTGGTTTTACTAAAGAATCAAAAAGGTTATTTGCTACTTTTATAGGTAGATTATTCAATGATTTAGTATAGGATTTTATTGCAAAAAATACTTTTTTTGCCTTTTTTGTCAGCTCTAAGGTACTTTGTGATAAATTTCCATTACATTTTATCAACATTCCCAAAAATGAATATTCTGATAATATACAGTATATTTATGACTTTTGTACACCCATTATAGACATGACATATAATGGTATACCATTGATATTTTTCTGTCTGTCAATTGGTCTGTTCACAAGTTGTATACATGGCAAAGAATCCTTGGATCAAATTTAAAGAAATTTGTAGAGAATATTGGTGGAAGAAAGATTCCATTTGATATTGAAATTATTTTAAGATGGTCATTCTAGAGTTATGTGACTTTAAATGTTAGATTTAAGGATTTCACATGTAGCTCACTAACTCAAATATGCTTGGAATAATTTACTTGAGACTTAATGATGTGGGTGGGTTTTGGTAAAACTTTGCTCCCTTTCTATTTTGAGAAAAAAAATTCTGATTGGTGGTTCCAGAGTTTTTGGACTTCAACAGTCAGATATAAGTAAATTTTCCAAAGGCTAACTCTAGAAGTAGTATGCTGGGATTGATTTACTAGAAATTTTACCCTTTAGTTGTGATCACTTAAATCAAGCTGCTTTTTGATTTTGAAAACTACTAATATGTCATTCCAGAATTATGCAACATTAATGAAAGATTTCAGGCAATTTTTTACATGTCACGCCTTAACTGGAGAATGTTAGGATCAATTTACTTGTAACTTTACTCTGTTGTTGGGATATGTGAAATTGAGTTCCTTTTTTATTTAAATACAGACAAATACTTTATTCCAATAAATGTGAAAGTTGGGGAAATGACAAGAGATATCGTCATTGTGGTAGATCTGACCTCCCTTTCAGGAGACTTCAGGGGATTTCTAAATAAATAAGTATTTGGATGCTATCACTGATATCTGGAGAGTTGACACCCCATGCAATGCCTTTCTCTCTACCCTTTAATGATTTTGTTAAGTTTATAAACTTTTGTAATTTCTCAGAAACATGCGGGGAATTATATCAGGGCTTATAGTCTTCGTTTATACTTCAATTCAGATCTAAAATAATTGAGTCTTTATGATCTACCTTTTTTGTCTGATTTGTTTTTTAATTGAAATCCATTAGTTTACTGGAATTCAAAAACATGTGTATATGTAACAGTAAATTCAGTCCGGTAGTTAAATATGTCCGCCAGACTTCTCTTCCTAGGTAATCAAGTCCTTGACCATAATTTTCCTAAGAATGAAAGTCCCTGGATAAATTTTCCTAGGAAAATAATTCCATAGCTAGTAAAATATGTCTGGCACTCAAATTCCTAGGAAAAGAATTATATGTCCGTATTCTTATTTTTTTTCTATGAAAAAATTTCCTTTAAAATTTTATTTCTCAAGACATAATTAAAATTAATCAACATTAAAATTAAGAAAGAAACATTTGTAATTATGTTCATCATAAAAGTCTGTGATATCAATTTTCCTAGGAAAAAAGTCCATTTAATTATTAAAAAACATGCATATTTTAATAAAATAGTGAAATATAAATGCACAACTGCTAAACAATTTAAAAACATATAAGAATTAAAAATTCCATTGTTTAAATGTAAATTATTTCTTTCATTACAAAATTTCACATAAAAATAAAGGACATGGACGTTGTTACAGGTCTAGGAATATTAATGCCATGGACATGAATTCCTAGGAAAATTAGTCTGGGCACATAAATTTTATTAAAAGATTAATGCACAGAACTGTTAAACAACATTAAAACATAAGAATTAAAAATTCCATTGTTTACATGTACATGATTTCTTCTATTAAACAATTTCCCAGTCAAATAAAGGACAAGGACATTTTTACCCAGGAATATTAATGACATGGACATAAGTTTCTAGGAAAATTAGTCTAGGGACATAAATTACTGACATCGGACAAAATATACTAGTAAATTCTGTAACCATGGACTTTTTATACTAGTAATATTTGTATGCCTGGACACTTTTTAACAGGACTAATTTATCTCTTACATATATGTATCGATGAGATTTTTCATTGCAATATTATACCCCAATCTTAAAGTCAGGGATTATTGCAATGACCTTGTCCAAGTAGAAATAAAGAGATGTGGTATGATTGCCAATGAAACAACTCTCAACCAGCGACCACATGATGTAGTAGTCAACAACTATAGGTCACTGTACAGCCTTCAAAAATGAGCAAAACTCATACCTCATAGTGAGCTATAAAAGGCCATGAAATGATAAACGTAAACAATTCAACCAAGAAAACTAAAGGCCTGATCTGTCAGACACTTTCTTCCTGTTTTCCAGTACTTTGAATTGCAAGTTTGGGTATGACTAGCACAACAACATATGCATTCTTGTTCTTTTAATAAGGGTTTAGATTTAAAAACCTATATTGAAGTTGTGGCTGCAATAATTGTGTTGACCCACTCTTTCAAAGTTAGTTTTAATCAAAAATAATCATCTAGTATGATGATAAATGTACAAAATTGTATGTTTTTGTATAAACAATTGTTTACATAACTCAAAAGTGACACATCCCTTCAAAATTTAGAACAGCATCTTACATTTTTAGGCTGATAGTATTTGGATTTATTTTTACCTATTTTCCCCCACAAAACAACAAAATAGTATGATGAGAATGAAATTCATGTTGATAAAGTTAACGATACTGATGTAAGTTTTAAACCTTTTTGCGGTTGATGCATGTCATCTTTTTAAAGATGGTGGGACACACAAAAATAGAAAAGAATTTAAAACTTTTTCATGAGGTCAGCAATGTTCATTGTATGATTGACGTCTTTTGCAGTATGAAAATTGAATTAACAGTTTGGTTGTATTATATGTAATTGACATATTTTCGAGAGATCAGATCTACTTATAAAGTCAAATAGAGTAAATGTATTTTCACCATGAAAGTGAAATTGTTAATTGTCAGTGATATTTAACACTCTTGTACAAAGCAGATTTGTAACTTTTGAAACCTCAGAAGGTGGGATCACCCTTTTATGAAATTTTATTGTGAATTTCACTGTAGAACCTATTCTTAATAATATTGGATGTGTTTGCATTCAAATTCATGTCTTAATTTTTGCAGTTAAATTTATTTCTACCTGATTTCTAGACAGTCAAGTCAGGTAATTTTGTCTGTTAGACAAATCCGTGCATTTTGTTTGCTTAAGTTACCAACAGCACTGTTCTTGCTTCAGTAAAACAGACTAATATTGTAAATTCAGACCTCGTCCTTTTGTCTCTGGTGGATAGTTGTCTCATTGGCAATCATACAAAATCTCCTTATTTTACAGGTATGCATAGCATATATGGAACATTTAGAATCTTGCTTGTCTGGACAGGAAGATGCATGAAATAAACAAAGAGATTACTAAGTTGATTATCCATTTTTCCTTTCAGTTAATAAATGGTGTAGCAGGTGTAAGGGATGCAGTGACTGTGAGTAGAGGAGAAGATATGTTTCCTCCACCACCCCCTCCAGACCTCTCTCAACTCAATATCAATGGTAAGTCTAAATTAAGTATTAGAAGTCCCTTCTCTTCATCAAGTCTTCTTCACTCAATATCAGTGGTAAGTCTAAATTAAGTATTAGAAGTCCCATCTCTTCATCAAGTCTTGTCTCAATTCAATATCAATGGTAAGTCTAAATTAAGTATTAGAAGTCAGTTTTCTCAACTCAATATCAATGTTAAGTCTAAATTAAGTATTAGAAGTCCTTTCTCTTCATCAAGTTTTCTCAATTCAATATCAATGGTAAGTCTAAATTAAGTATTAGAAATTCCTTTTCTTTTTCCAGACTTCTCACAACACATTCAGTGTGTTGTGACTGAATCTTCTATAATCTTTCAACTCAATATCAGTGTTAAGTGTAGATAGTATGACCTTTCAATAACTAATTTCAACGAAAAAAGTATGGTAAGTCTAAGATATCAGTCAGACATTGGAATGAGATACATCGCTTTATGAGTAAATATGGAGTTTGCCAAATATTAGCACAATTTGATGTTGTGAAAAGCTGAAACATTTCAATTATATTTAGAAAGTAAATTACACTCAATAAGTTTAATGTTCATCTCAAACACAAGACCTATTAACGTGAATGGATAATTTTCACAATCAAATTTTTATGATTATTGTCCAATTAACAATAAAATACTTCCACAATCATTAATTAATTGATGTACTCCAAATCAACGAAAAATGTATCTGATGTAAACAAAGAAAATGTTTGTTAACTTAAATTTGTCATCTGTATTTAGATGGGAAGACTATCCTTATCACTGAAAAAAACTAGATAATAACTAAGAATGGCAATACTGTGTAATGGAAACATGAATTTTAGATATAAACTAGGAAATTTTCATTCCACTTGATTATTAGAATTTAAAGTAAATATCTCTTTCTGTTTGTATTAAATGTATTATAATGTTTTGTTTTAATATTTATTGTTTAAATGATTTATACATGTTAATTTGACATAACATTTGAGTGAGGATATTAAATTGCCACAAACATTTATATTTCCCTGTAACAATAATTGAATGTTGTCATCCTGTTTAAATAATGGATTTAAAATTGATCAGAAACATGTTCAGAAAGCTTGACAAAATGTACAGTCTCATGTTGTAAATCTGTATGTATTCTTATTAATATTATTGATCATAGATGGCATTACAGGAACAGCAAGGAGGACAATTTCTCCAATTTCTATTTCTGGTAATAATACTATAACTTTATTTTTGCACAAATTACCTATTGGGCAGCTGTATAAATCCTGCTGAAATATTTGATATTTTGCCTTCCCAGAACTCTTTGCAATTTTCAGCCATTGATGTATATTTTTATGTATTTAAATATTTTAGTTTTATGTATAGTTTATGTTTATTATATATTTAATGTATAAATGTAGATAGTTATTTTGTTTTGATGTTGTAAACGTAGACTTGCAAGAATTTGGTGACATATGGAACCGCCAGAAACCAGTACAAGCTTCAGCAGTGCCTAGCACAGCATATAGTCCAAAACCCCCACCGGTAGCCCCAAAATCACCGAGGGTGATAGCTAGAGGTAGAATCCAAGCATGTGTACACTGAGTGCCACACCCCTTTTTTTGTCTAACAAACCATATTGTGTTATTTAATTTATGTGTTGTTCACAGTATAAGACATATTGTCCACACTGTAAATTACTATACATATATATGTTACATTCAAATCTATGTCTGGCCTCAAATCTATGTCATTTCCTTAGATCTGTGTCTTGTGACGTCATGACAGTCAAATCTGTGGCCCTTTGTTCAGACTCATATCTATGTCCTTTCCCCAGATCTGTGTCCCGTGACGACATGACACTCAAATCAGTGGCATTTTGTTTTTTCAAATCCTTTTCTTTTTATTAAGAAGACTTTTAGTAACGTGACGTGGAAAGAGATTGACTCATCAAATCGACACAAAGCACACAATTCAATTATCAAACAAAAACACAAAAAAAAAACAGAAGAGACAAATCTATTTTACTGTTTGGTTTCAAGATGTTATTGACAAAATCATTTTTTCTGGAAGATGTTTTGAAAATTCTGTCAACACATGAGGCAGTGAATGACTAGTTGAAAAGGACACAGAATTGAGAAAAAAAAAGGACATAGATTTGTGACGTCAATGAGTCAATATAGACTAGAAAAAAAAAAAAATTTTTTTTACTGTTTGACCTTCAAGACGCTATTCCTGGAAGATGTTTTGAAAATTGTTATGTCAGCACATAAGACAGTGAATTACTTGTTGAAGAAAACATAGATTTGTGATGTTTATGACACGAAATAGAATAGAACAAAAAAAAAGAAGAGGCAAATCTGTTTTACTGTTTAGCCTTCAAGATGTTATTGACAAACTTTATTTCCTGGAAGATATTTTGAAAATTCTGAAGTCAACAAGTAAGACAGTGCATGACTTGTTGAAAAGGACACAGATTTGAGAAAAGAAAGGACATAGATTTGTTACTTCTATGATGCAATATAGAATAGGACACATATTTAAGACTGGACATAGATCTGAGGCTTACATATACATGTGTACTACTTGAGTCATTTCATATTTATTGATGAATGACAAATTGATTTGCTAATAAACCTTTAAAAAATGTGATTTGTTAATTATACATTAAGATACAAATGAATATTTCTGATTTTTCTTTTACAAATAAAGAAAGTTAATGTAAATTTTCAACAATGAGTCAATATTGCAAAAATATGCATTCTGTTTTCCATCAAAGTGAAAATCAGTTTATAAATTAATCCTATTTTGTCCAGCAAATGATTTTCTACAATAAAGCATTATTTGATGGCATGCCTTTAAATTTCATTAGGTGTTTTTGCATGTTTATATTTTTTACTATTTTTGTTTTAAAGATAGAAAGTTAGATTTGAAGTTATCACTGTTTCTGACTACATTTTTTGTGCTGTTACAGGAATAAACAATAACAATATTATATTCCTTTATATGTTGTAAATTTAGTTCCTAGTACATAAGGTTTTATCACATTTTATTTTGTTGAATTCTTTCAAAGTTTGAGTAATTTTTCAAACCTTTCTTTTCACATTTAATAATAAGACCTTTGTAATTGTCATATATCTTAAAATATATTGATTTATTTCAGTGGAACTAATAATTTTAGTTTAATATCCTTTCTGCTTAGTCTGAATTAATATGGTTTATTCTATCTAGACTTATCTTTCAGAACAGAGGACTAAAAAGTTGTACTTTATGTGTATTTTAGAATTTTCTTTTCACATTTCTAAAGCTTACCAATGTTTAATGTTTGCCCATAGATGGGATTTTCACATTCTCAGACAGCAGTAATATCAGTTTGCCATAAACATTGTTTAACTATTCAAGACTTAATCACAAATAACATTTAAAGCATAAGGTCTCACAATAGAAACAGCTTGAACCTGAGTTGCAGCTGAGCAATTTAGTTATAACAACTGATATTTTTGTATACAGTTCTTGATTAAGATTGAAATAAATGGGAACTTTGCATAAATTTGGTTATCAGATGAATGCTCTATGATGAAACAAAAAGTTTTGAAACGTAATATTCTACCTGACCCATTCCATATTTTCATATTCAAATACAGATTTTGTTATGCCAAAAGCATGGCAGAACATTGTTTTTTTTTACATTCTAAACCTTAAATTCCATGCAGAAACTAACATTAAGTTTAGATAATTACATACAATTTTTCTTGGCAACACAAAAAGATAGACGCAAGATTTGAAAAAAGCACAGAAGATAGTGTGGACCAAAATAGCCTTAAATTAGAAAATTAACTTATTTTATCTGATGAATATTGAAATCTATATATTAACAATAGGGAATGAACAATCAACCAATATGCATGCATCAGTTCCTTCTTGGTTCAATTCAGTGTTTATGTTTTTTGTTTTTTATGGCTGTCAAATAACCAATCGTGGTTGACAAAGCCAAGGGTAATAGATAATATGTTTGTAAATGCACATTCAGAATTCAGTATTGTTAGGTGTTGTATTTATTGTATAATCATTTCATCTTTACATCACACAGTTCCAGATCAGTTTGCAGATAGCCATTACACCATGGTTGCTCCAGAAGGTATTACCTCCCTTTTATAGAAACCCATTTATTTTATTTAGGTTCAGCTTCTTGATACATTTTATATTAAGTTTCATTTATATTTTCCATATTTTAGTTTCACATAACTTTAGTTTATAACATTTAGTCTCATTTATATGTGATATCAGCATGCAACTTATTTGAAATAAATTTTATTTATTTAAAAAAAATTTTTTTTTGTTTAGTTCGCTAGGTTCAGTTTTATTTTTTGTTTCAAAACTTTTGCATGGAAGATTATTAACAAAATCAGTAACAGTGTAATTATCTTGGCTATTTTAGAAATAAAATACTTTCAGAAGTTGTATGAATTTTAATGACTAAATGACACTTTAATAATAGCTGAGCACATGAATATTGTATTGTAAAACACGTCATATGTACATAAAGTGAATTGTCTTAGTACATTAAATAGATTATTATAGTTCAGCTTTAGATATGGAATCATCTATTTATATTGTAATTTGTCCAAATTTGTGTAGAGCATTGTATTTGTTTTAAAATGCACAAATCCATGTAATTATATGTTAAATAATATTGAAATGGTTCTTAGGCAACTTATATTGCTTTCAATGTAAAGATTAGCACAATGTAACTGTATGTGTGTATTGTCAATTTTTTGCAGCTACAATGAGGCAGGAGAAGGGATATCAGGGGCAACATGCTGCCCCTCCTGTCCCCCCACCACCAGTTCCCCCACCCCCAAGGGATCCATATTATGGCTATTATGATGGTAGATATGGTTTTAGAGTAATGTTAGGTCATCTTGTGCATCTTGACCTTTTAACCTATCCATGTTCAAGTTTTGTTTGTTATACCACTAATAATGAAATTGAATTTAAATTGTATGAATTATCTTGCAAGTAGTCAGTTGAAAAAAGGTTGTTACAAATTGAACACGATTTTAAAAATGATGTGTTTCTATTATTTTTGACATTGATATTTGAGAGACCTTTAAAAGTGCAAATACTTGGTAAACTTGACAAGATTGTAAAATGTTTTAGTGAAAATATGTTGGATGTTTTATATATTGCTGAAGGTGAAATAAAAATTCGGTGGGCTTGTCAACTCTTTTAATAAACAATAAGATTTCAGAAAGAAGAGCTAGAAAATCCATTTTAGGTAGATAAAATTCTTTAGATTGGAATTGTTTGCCCCCATTTGATCATTATCCAGGGACCTCAATGGCATGGTTCAATAATTTGATGAAATCAATATTTTTTTTTAGATGAAAAGATGATCATTTTGTAACTATAAATATTAGGTAACAGTAGTTGGTCAATAGACTTTTATAAGTTATGAATGGCCTTTTGATCTTCATGGTTTGTTAATCAACTAAGTTTTTATTATTATTTAATGTATTCAATCACAGTAAGAATCAGAATAGGGTTCTAGCTTATATGTGTACATGGATATATTGAAGGGGACACCCTGACAATGACCTTATTTTCATGGTTTATTGATCAAATTAGTTTTTTTTTATTATCATTTAATGTTATATATTCTTGTAAGAATCAATATAGGGTATACATGTGTTCATCTGAAGGGGGACCCCCTGACCTTATTTTCATGGTTTATTAAAAGTGTTAAGTTTTCCTGATTAGATCAGCTTCTCAGTCACTATAAGAAATACAATTTGGTTGTTATTTTTATTTTTATTATTCAATACTTCAAACAAACATAAATCATTTATAAAGAAACCTTAACACCATTGTTTGGTCAACAGCTCGCCACAACAGCACAGAAAGCTTTATTCTAATATGATGCACTTATCTCTTTGAAAACAAAATCATGTTCTAATTCCAACAAAACATAGGGGGCACATGCTTGACGTCACAATTGAATTTGCATTGTCAGTTGTATTTTGAAAGAGACTAGATATCAAAATGGACATTTCTGTTGGAGTTGCTCACTATTAAATAAAAAAAATCTTTTAAAAAGTAAATCTTATTGTCGAATGTGTCTTATTTATGTCTGCTTCAAATGAAAATACTATTTTCATGTCATGTTCTGTTCTCAGTTTAAGATGGGTATGCATTATAAGTTTTCCAATAGTTTACAACCGCTAACCCACAGTATAAATATATTGAAAAATATAATGCTTTCTCATGTTTAAATGAACAAAAAGCATGTAATAAAAGATTTATTTCTAAATTTGATTACAAATAAAATGCAAATGTGCAATTTCCCTGTCATCGATTGCTACCATCCCTTATAAACACGATCTACAATAGAAAAGGTATTCTGTAAGTCTACGAAAGTGAAGGGTTAAGGAATAGGAACTGATACTGTACTGTCGTAAAGGCAAACCAGTAATATAAATCTAGCCTACCTATACTATAGTTAAGCGCATAAATTCTAGCTTGAACTAATCATGATTATTATTACCTGAACAGGTACTAACTGACTGTTTATTCTACCAAGTTAAACATAAACATGTTTAGACATAAGCACATGTGCTATTAGAAAACAAATACACGTTTTTCTCGAGTTCCATTCATAAATATATTTATAAATTGTGCAGGTGGGTGATAAATTTTTGTTTGTCTATTCCTGTTAATTTAAAGACAGGTGAACATTTTTGATTTATTATATATTCGGTAAATATGTGTGAAAGAGCAGGTGATGTGACAATTGATTTATCTTGAAAGTGTTAAATAATACTGTAACGTCTGTTGCTGAGATTACAGAAAATTTGATTGCACTTGAAGGGTTCAGCAGTCCTGAAAATTGATTTGACTGAGATTTATAACATTTAAAATATTTTCTGTTATACAATTAAATTTAGGAAGCCCAATAATCGTTACTTTTAAATGACTTAATGAGGATGATTTAGCATGCTGATTATTTGTGACTTTACTGTTGTTTTTAGTGAGAAACTTCTTGAAAATATTTTATGTTCTATATTGGGTTCAGAGATTTTAAGTTAAATTAAAGAATCAACTTTGATACAAATGAAAAAAATTCTGAGCTATCAAACCACACTAAATATTTTTTAAATGAACAATGCAGTTGTTTCTTTTGAAACATCATGCTATCTTATATAGTTGTATTTACTGCCTGTATATGTGTAAAATAGTAGGAAGTTTCTCTAAAAAAAGCATGGCATGTTATTTGGGCTTTTTAATATAAACATAAGTGGGACCAAGGGCAGAAATTATGTAGGTTGTTCAACCATTATAGCAATTTATTATCCATGTTCATAATGAAGTGAAGCTAGAAATATACATTTTCCACTCTTGGCCTTCCCAGGATGCTTTATTTATTTCAGTGGAATTGTCTCTTGATAAATGACATTAATGGTAGCTTCTTGGGTTTTTTTTTCTTTACTTTGATTTTAATTCTAAGGAACTTTGTTTATTTGACAAAAAGACAAATAGGTTTTTTACAGACCCATTGATGCAAAAGTTGATATTTTAGTGACTTTTTGTTTTTTTGCTTTCTTCTGTGATTGGCACTTATACAAGTTTTCATTTATTCCTAAGTTTCTATGATGAACTTGTATTGTTGCTCTCTTATTGATGAAAACATTGTGTCTCCTTTTATTCATCAATTTATCTGGTTTCACAACAATGATAAAGTTTGGGAAAATTGTATATTCATCTTTCCCTTCCAAAATTTTAAAGTGATCATAGAAAGTCATGACAGTGATGAGCATCATTGTTTTAAATCTGATACAAGGCACACAAATACAGATTTTATTTTTCCATTTGTAGTGATAACAGAAACCTGATAATTAACAAAGATTGTAGTATTTTGTAAGAGACATTTGTTGTTTGCCACAGTATTCAATCTTCCAATATGTGGAAACATAGTGTTCTATTTATATCTACTACCTAGGTGGTCTCGTGGTATTGTGTTCGCCTTGAATGCAAGATATCGTGGGTTTAAACCCAGGCTAGGTAAAAACCAAAGACTTTGAAATTGGTATTTGCTGCTTCTCCGCTAAGCATGAGGCATTGAGGAGTTAGAGAAAAGGCTGGTCAGGTTGAAGTCGGAATAATTTGTCCTGGTAGGGTGACATGTCTTCCTGCGGACTGTTACCTTGTGAACTAGCATGTTAAAAATCCGGCTCAGCGTGTCGGTCTAGTACAAAACAGAGTTAATATTCATATTACATTAACATGTTCTCCTCCTGAATATGTATTTAATTTGCCTCAGGACATTAAACAGCCATCCATCCAGCATCATCATCTATTTACATCATCTATACTAATTTTGGGCAAAAATGATGGATTTCTTTTTTTCCATTTTCCAATAACTCATTGTCATGACCATTATGGCTTGTTCTCTATTGATTAAAAATGATTACTCCTTTGAAATGGGGAATATTTGAAACCAAACATAGCCACAGTCAGTCATAGTGTTTCTTGTTTTTAAATCATTTTCTGTGAAGTACACAGCCAGTTTGTTAGAGATGTTTTTGATTTTTGAATCGTTTTTGAGATGATTCCCTATTGAAATAGATTTCCTTTTAAAAAGTTTTGATTTGAATAAATAGTACATATTAAATCATTTTGAACCCGTTTTGGCAGGAACGTTTTTATGATAACTGCTTTTAAAAGAGACAAAGGTTTCCCTATTCCACCAGTTTGCTTTGAGTCTTTAGTTATACTTCATTTTGATGTATATTGTTCATAACATCTTTGCATGAATTTAAGAAGAAATGATTAAAGAAAGGTTTTGCATCAAATTAATTTCTGGTTTAAATTTTTTAAATGTTTCATTTAATACATGAAGACAAATGTTGATAACATTAATCATTACTTAGTATTATTAACAGTAGAACATTGTGTAGTCCATATAATGAATTCTTCCTTTCTCCATCCCATATCATAATTCTTCCATACTGCTAACTTTTCAGTTTACTGTTCAATGTATTAGTAAATCTTTTATATACAGAAGAGTCAAGTACAACATATTATAATGAAAATGCCTGGATTAGATTCATGATGGAGCAAATACATTATATAGTATGAGATACACTGACATTGCAGTTGAAAGGTCAAAACATGTGTTTCTGCAATTCTTTTCATGAAAGGGTTAATCAGAGGATCGATTCTAACATTTTACATGTTATAGGGATCTTAAAGAAAACATAGTCCATATGTCCTCATGCAATGAACTGAAATCTTTCACTTTGCCTAGTTGATTAGTTTGGCATTCAAACTGAATATTGAAAATGATTTTAGTCATTGGCATTCTAAAAGGGCAGCAATAGCCATGTTTTATGGTAGTCATAAGACACTTTTTGTAGAAAAAAAATACTGTTTTAAATTAGCACCTTAAAGTGGCAATAGCCGCCAAAGTGATGCCTACTTGGTCAATTCAAACTCAAATTTGATTAATTCAAATCTACAAATGTTCAATAGAAAGCAATATCACAATGTATGGAATCTTATGCACATTTTGTATGTATTTCTAAAGGGATGTATTCTAAATAACAATCGACATTACCCATGAAAACTGTTGATGGGCATGTGACCCCGTTAAAATGATAAATATATACAGACAGGTAGGTAAATACAAGCAGACAGATAAGGATGTCCAACAGTAAAAGGTCAATTTTCTTAATTCTGTTTAATCTCATTTCATAGATTAAAAGTACCAAGGGTTAAATTAAATGTAAATCATTTACTCAAAAATGTATAAGACAATATTTTTTTAAAACATTAATTCAATCAAGGAAAATGGTCTTCCTGCTCTTGCCTTCCCTTATTTAACTTCAGTTAGCTGACATTTGTTTCAATCACTGGACATGCTGAACAAATGTGCAACCCGTAAAATTAAAGGTTGCATGCATACCGACCCAAATGAGGTCGAAATTATTGTCTTGGAAGACAATAATATATCAGTGATGAGCACATATTTTCCAAATTGAAACAAACTGGCTGCTAATAGCGAATTATTATTTTCAAATATATTTGTTTTCATGATGTAAATTTCTGTGATTTTAGAACTCTTTTGAATTATATTACATTTAACAAATGTATGTGATAGTTGTAAAATAGTGATCAATATTGACAAAAAATGCTTACAGAAATTATTTATGTTTGTGATTACAGTGTATTATGTTTTGTATGTATTTTCTAATATGATTGGTGATAAGTCATGACTTCTTATACCCCATAAGCCAGTGTATATTTTATACAATTTCATTATTTGACTAAAAAAGGATAAAGGTTGAACCAGCATTTAATTGAAAAATGATTTTTTATTTAATGTTAATTTCAGATGGAGATATACCACCTCGTCCACCACTGCCTCATGAGACTGCCCCTGCCAGACCCCCACCCCCTGATACAGATGACGAAGAAGATTTCCCTGTCCCACAGGCTAACCAACCTATCATGGTAAGTATTGCGTAATATATAGTACAAAGTATATAGTATATACCATATTAGGTCACTGACGGCCTGTGGTACATGTATTATTCTTTTTTTTTTACAAAAATCACATTTGCAAATTTGCAAGTGTTGAAGGAACACAGTTATTTCACATGTTAAATATCAGATTAAATAAGACAGAAAAATCATGATACTTCTTTCATTGTTATGTAGCGATCCTATATTGTTTTATCTTATAGATGGCAGCACATGCCCTCCATATGGAGACAAAGCAGTGGTCAAGTAAAGATAATGAGATTATAGCTGCAGCGAAAAGAATGGCTCTCCTAATGGCCAAACTAAGTCAGTTGGTCAGGTAATACTATATAGGTCATAATTCAGTGGTGAAAGGTCAAGGTCTGTACCTTGGGACATTCAAAGTTATTGCCTTTCATCATGTTCATCATTATACTTTACATATTGTTCTCATTAAATTGATACCAAAAGTGCAATTTATGTTATATTGCTTAAAGTTAAGGTTAAAAAAGATTTGATTCTAAAAATGTGTATCATTAAGTGAAGAAGATTTAGTTTGAGTTGTTTAAAGACCTACACAACTTAATGCTCTAAGTTGTACAGCATCAAAGAAGTTTGTACTCATGCATACTATTAAAAACTGTATATGTATATGTCCACATGACATTGAAAAATCATGTTCAGTACAAATCCAAGTGAAAGAGGAGATATTGGGCTTTCACATTTAAAAACAATTTCTAGACTGATATTTAATAATTCGCAATGATTTATATCACACCATTTTAGTATGTACATGTATTTATACTCAATATGTATATGTCTTTCAGTTGGGAAAGGTAAAGGTTAAATTAATAGTCTTTAGCCTTCTTCAGTTCAGGCATTTATCTTTCATTAACATTTCTATTTGAAATGTTTCATTTTAACATATGCATTGAATCTTCATAATATCTTTGTTTCTTAGCTGTGGCACACATACCTTCTTCACTCAGATGAAAAATCATGATGTTTATCAAAGCCAGTTGTACTTCTATCGGTAAAATAAGAGTATGAATCAAAACCCAAACTGTTTGATCCTTCCAAACAAAAATCCAAAAGATTTTCTGCAAATTTGGCATTCACTTATTGCCATTCTTCTGATAGAATCAGTATTCTATGATTTGTTTACTATTATATTCCAGAATCAATATTTTTTAATATAGTTCATCTCAATATTGCTTTTAAATTGTTTAAATTCCATTTAAATAATTCATGTTTTCAAAAAATTTAAAATTCTATGAAGAACATAAATCCAGAAAAGTGCTTTGGATGCAGAAAATTTATTAAGTGTTATTTTCTTTTTTTTTTTTATATAAGAAATCAACAAATAAATATATTCAAATTAAGAATACATTGATTCAGTATTGATTAAATATTTTGTCATTCAATCATGCGAAGATAACCTATAAATACAGTTTGTGATATTCTGTGTTGTGTTTAAGGAATTGAAAAATCCACCACCTTTCACCTTTCAGGTAGACAGAAGTTTGAAAAATTGATTGAAACCAGTGATCCCCCCTTAACATCTTTCCCTTTGATGCTGATTTTCCTTCCAATCACAATCAATACCCCAGGAAACAGCACAAGTTGATACTCCTTACGTGCATGAAAAAAACACCCTGTAATTTACATTTTCTGAGGGCAATATTTTAGACAATATATATCTTGATTAGTGTAAACTATATGTTCTTATTCATAGACTCAAACACAATGTTTATAAGGCTCACATGACAGTAGCCTCTTGTAGAATCAGATGCACATTCAGCATTTATATCTAACATGATAATATCTGTATAATTACTAGAAAATAATGGTAGCTAGAAATCTGCCACACAACGGTTCTGGACAACAAATCTGAAAATCCATTTCATCAAATATTAAATGTACACTTCAATGCAGACTCAAACTGTTATCATATTACTTCTGCATGAAACACAATACTTATTAGAACCCTAAGTCAATTGATCTGAGCTTCTGTAAATAGCTAAATACATGAGAAAAATGTAAACAAAATCTTTGCATGCTTGAATTGCGGAAAAAGTTTGTTAAATCTTAAATATATAAAATATAGTCTTGTTCAGAATGTAAACACATTTTTCATACATGAAAATGTATGGAATAATGAAAAGCCTTTATCTTGATATGGCCAGGTATTGACATGAACATGATTGGCTCTTTTGAAATGTATATTAAACTTTATCTCTGTCTTAAGTCTATTCTCAACTCTGGCTTTGCATAACATGAAATTGCAGTTTAAGACATGCTAAAAATGCCTATTGTTGCCATGAGAAGAAATTATTGTCATTATGAAATGTAGAAATCTTAATTTTAGAATACATTTAATACTAAATAGTAATGTCACAGAAAAATATTTGATTAAGAAAGATTCATAAAATTTTCATGTAAGCAGTGTCCACATTTATAATAGTATACTGGAGTGAGAGATCTGGTCTAATCCTACAATTTTATTGGTTACCTTGACAGGGTATATGAGCACATATACCCTGTGATTAAAAGTTATAAAGATCAGAATGGTAATTAATGTTGAAATCGGGATACTCCAGTATTATATAATGGTAAAAATTGTTCTGTGCCAAATGTATTGTTTTATTACCATTATGATTATTATTGAAAAAAGTACCTAATGGAAGTATTGCTTTAAGTAATAAATGACTGATTTTGTAGAGGTGAAGGTGGTTCTAAGAAAGATTTGATAGCCACAGCTAAGAATATAGCTGAGTCATCAACAGAGGTGGCAAAACTGGCACAGAAGTTAGCTGCTGAATGTACAGATAAAAGGATGAGAACGGTAATATTTTGTATGTAAAAGCACAATCATATATCATGGTTGTTAATCAAGGGGATAGGAAGGAATTTTTCCTGTGAAATTACATTATTTCTGTTATTAATGGTCACAGAAACATAAAAGAGCAAAATGTTCGGATTTCTATGAAATTTTGCATGCAACTAGAGTATGTTGAAGAACTATTTCTGAATATTGACAAAGGAAAAAGTATGAGAATTTTGGGCCTTGAATTTGCAAAAATTTGCTAAAAACCAAAATGTATTATAAATAAGTCAAATAACATCCCTTAGAAGTTCTGGCCAAGTTAAATTTTGTTTGATGGAGTTGAATACCATTACATGATTTATAACCTAATAAATTGTGCTGGTAAGTTAATCAATGTTTTTGATAACAGTAATCACATTAAGACCTGTTTTAAGATTGGGTTAATATTTAAGTATGTATATTTCTTTTCAACAGAACTTATTGCAAGTTTGTGAGAGAATTCCGACAATTGGTACCCAGTTAAAGATTTTATCAACAGTGAAGGCAACCATGTTAGGAGCTCAAGGTATACACTTATTTATCAACATTGTACCTTCATTTTCAATATTTTTTCATTAATTTTAAATCTTTGCAAAGTTCTTATATATACAACAGTGCAAAATCAATAATTGTTTTATCGATATTAGTTTAACATAAGAAGTTTAAGATTTGTTTTACTGACAACTTTCTTTTGACCAGGTCTGTGTAGGTATTATTATTTAAAGTTAAGCTGTTATTGGATAAAGATACATTTGACCATGTTTTTATATTGTCTGTATAGATGATGCTCCTATAACATTCTGTCTGTCAGGTAACATAATGTATCTAGAATATATAAAAAGGCAGTCCCTGGAGATTAAAAGAAATGTATATTAATATAATGAATATGATGTTTCCAAAGTTAAATGGATTCAGTTATTAATTTTACAATACAAACTTATAACCAAGATTAAATAAACCATCACAATGTAACTTTTGGAAATAACAGTTTTGAAGTAATAAAATCAGACTCCTTTAGTATACTTTTCATGAAATAAAATGTTGATATTGATTTTTATGTAAATTTAAGTAAACCAAGTTATATTTAAAAGAGTTATGTCAAAATTTAAAGAAGAGCGAAATGAAGCAGATGTATCCAATATAAAAGGAAAACTCCTACTGTATCTAAAGGGAGCTATTTAAGAATGTTAAGCTGATAAAAATCATGTTGATTTATTTATACCATAGAACCTGTACCAGCCCCAGACGGTGGTGAAATATCTTGCGGTAAAGTTCATTTAGCATGGGATGACCCTGACTTGTAGTTGATGACTAATAATTGAGATTTTCCTAAAGTTTGTCAGTAGTGATGATTTAGAGTTGACCAATGAATGCATTTTTTACCAGTGATTTTCCTCCCAGCACGTTATAATGACAACCACTAATCCCCTGTGATGTGACTGATTTTCAAAATATTCCTGCTGTTCAAATAGTGTAAAATGGGGAACATCAGATTGTTATATTGATACTTTCTAAACTTACAATTGACAACAATGTATCCATTATTCATCTGCTGTCTGTTATATCTACAGCATCAGGCCCAATGATTAGGTATTCGATTACCTAAGCCTCTTGCTTGTTTTTCCCTTCAAAAACCTTTCTGTGTAGGATTTGGACAACCAAAAAATTCTAAGCACAGTTGGTAGGCAAGTATTTCATCAGATCATATTTATAATGGGTTTTAGAAAAAATGTTTCATGTTTCATTGTATATCTTTATTATCTAGGTTAATGTTTCAAGCGATGAAATTTCCAGATAAAATATACATGTATTATTCGCGGGATACAAATTTTTGTGGATTTCGTGGGTAAATGTGAACCAAGAATTTAAATGATCAACTAAGTTCGAAACATTTATAGATTTTTATGCAGACTTGGGTCAAACCATGAAATCAATTATCCTTGGAAATAAAATTTTCCTCAATGTATGAAAATTGGTACTCACGAAAATAAAAGAATTCACACTAACTACAAATTAAGAGTTGACATATTCAAACAAAATCTTAGACATGTTAACGGGATCTCTTGTTATTTATCAAGTTTATTTTATTTACTGAAAATACAAAAAATGCTCAAGTTTACATTCAACTTCAACTGACCAATTGCAAGAAAATATGTTGGGGTGTAATTGAAGTAAAACTACTTATTGAGCTGACCATAATTTATTGACCATATGTGATTGATTCAAGCTGTGGGATGACCTTAAGAAGTTTACTTTCCTTTATGGTAATCTCTCCTTTTGTAATCTTCCCTCCGCCATGTTTCACAAAGGCAGCATTTTACCAGGTAACAAATAATATTGTGCAAAATTTGTGTGATTTCTCCTTTATTTGCATTTGATATATAATATTCACATGATTGAATCCAGATTGATGTTACAGCACTTATGTAGTAATTGTAAGCAACAGCAGTGATGATTAAATATACAAATCTGGGCACATGTGTTCCAATCTTTATTTAATGATAACTTTAACCTGTAATTTACACATACTAAATTATATATCTTACAACTTCTTGCATCAAAGTCAAATAAAGGAAACTTTACATCCAATGAACACCCCCATATTTTATATGACTAAAAGTTTTGTGGTGGTATAATGTTATGACGTCGATGTCGTCATTGTCGTCTGAAGACATTTGGTTTCTAGACAATAACTTGAGAATAAGTGTATGGATCTCAACAAAAGAACTTTTTATCATGTTCATGATTCATCCCTATCAGGAATGTCCAGATCCTAGACTATGAGAGTCAAAGATGTATAATATATGAAGGCATAGTTAGAATGTTATGGAATGATAAGCTTTGTTCAGTTTTGTATCCATAAATCTATTGTGGGCTCAAATTTTTGTTCTAAAGACATTTGAAGTTTGTAATGTACAGACAGTATCCCAGGAATCTTAAAGTTTATTGGCTTACACAAATAATGTTAACGTATAGTTCTGTATATATCCCTTGTTTTATCGACTGAAGAAAAAAATGAAATGAATTAAGTCGAGAACATTGTAAAAGTTGTTCTATATGTGATGACAAATTATGATAACACTCTTACTGTTTTTCAATCCCAGCAAAATATACTGATGTTAGTGTGTTACTGTTTCCAAAGACAAAAGGTATAACAAAATAAAATGTTTACTAGAAAAATTGAATTAAGATTTCTAGATAATTAATCAAAATAAATAGTTTATGTGTGTCCCAAAAACATAAATGTGAACTGACTATTTTGATCTGTCAGTTCTAAGTGTTATGATTTTGGTCTTTCAGAAGTAGTTGTCTCTTTGGCCTTTATTCTATATGATATTCTAATTTGTATATAACTAGTAATGTTTTTATGTCTTTTATTTATGAACAGAGCAGGAGTGTATGAATTTTATATTTTAATGCTTTTTAATTCTTTACTGAAATCCTCTGACCCGAATGTTGAAACAGGACAATACAAATGTTACTAACCAACATTGCATATTATGCATCATGATGATTACTTCCTTTCAATAATTTCAACAGTTTTAATGACACAATGCCTTTGCTTAGATAAATGCATGGTGAATATTTTGCCAATTCTTATATGATAAACCCACTGTTTAGTCTGTATGCAAATTGTTTTTATAGTTGAATTATATATTGTCAACTTGAAAAAGACTAGTCAGTTCACATGAATTTCATTAAAAATCTAAAGATTTATTAATGAGTTCAAAACTTTAGACATAAGTTTCAATGAATGCAATGCTAATTCCATTGCATTTATTAGATTAATTAGAAAGTAGCAAAATTATTAAAATTTTAAGTACTTCAGAATGCCAAAAAAAGAAATTAAATAAAGCTGGGTTTATCATTAAAGTACATAGCTTTGTATTGATTGACAACTAATATATGCTTTTTTGTTTTGTTTTTATTTCTGCCTGCTTCTGTAACCTGTTGCCATGGAAACAGAATCCAGTAAGTTTAAGCCACAAGTCATGTATTTAATAATGGAGAATATTGAACTCAGGCTTCTACAATAATTTGACTAATTTTCCTAATTGCTGCTTGCCGGGATAAGAAAATAACATATTTTATTAATCAAATGCTGTTTTCTCATTATAAAAAAACTTGCTTTACATTTCATGCAAGTACTTTTACAACAGTGTGGAACTGTTATACCATTTTAGTCTACAGGATAGTGGGATTGAAATTTATTGAGTTGATGATTAATTAATATGGTACACTTTACAATTTAAAAAATTTCTTATTAATATTCATTTGATTGGGTAAATGATGCAATTTGCCAAAAAAAAAAAAGTGAATAGGTATTGATATATACAAGTCTAAATTGAAAACAACGTTCAAACCTATGATTGCGTTGGATAAAAACCACTATTTTTATACATGTGCATGCAAAACAAATTTCTTGATAGAGGGGTCTAATTACCGCACAAACAACATTTTCCAAAAGACCAAAAAAGTGAAAAAGTATATTTTAACAAAATATATATATAGATATTGTAGAACCCTGAATCATTATCATTAGTTATTGTGGTTATGGTTTATAAATAAACATCTATTGTCTACTGAGTATATTGTTTTTTATGCCCCGCCCCGCAGTAGCGGATGGGGCATTAAGGTTTAGCCTTGTCCATCTGTATGTCTGGCTGTCCGTACTTCCCGAAATTGGTTTCCATTCTCTAACTTTAGTTTCCCTTGACCAAATGCTATGAAAGTTAAACATACACAGATGAAGATCCAATTTGGGTGGCATCACTTTTACCGTTCCTGAGTTATGCCCCTTTATAAATGGAAAAATTGCAGAATTTTTCGTTTCCGTTCTCTTACTTTAGTTGGCCTCAACCAAATTTGGGTGGCATCACTTCTACAGTTCTCTAGTTAATTCCCTTTATAACGTTTCATGCAAGCAGGGGCATTATCTGTGTCCCATTGACACATTCTCCATTTATTTATAATTGTATTTCAAACACATTTAGCCTACCATAAAAAATATATATAGGGCACATTTGTTGGAAAACTGCAGTTGCTAGGCCTAGCATGATATGTCATTTGAAAATGAGTAAAGCTAAATAAAGTTTTTTGTGCATGATGCCTTGTTTTGACTGGATGTGGTACTTTTATTTTCTATACAAAGACTAACAAAGACAAAGTCTTCATCAAGATTATACATGCATTGTTAGATATGAATGATTTTTTAATGGATTTTCTTTATCTTCAAGTTAGCATTATATAAGTTTGGTTTGATGATTGCAAATATGGGACATATTTTTAAGTGGTGTATTTATTGAAATCAGCATTCATGCAGGAAATAGCTTTATATGAATTTATATTAATACTATATTTGGAACCTAAAGGATTCAGATCTTTTAATCCTTTAAGTTGGTTATTACTTTTATACAGATTTCATTCTATGACTTTGTATGTTGTTTAGTAAGAATGAGAAAAAATAGCTTTCATAGTTTGTATTGTGAACCAAGTCTTGATGAAAAATAATTTTAGGGTGAAAATAACGCTCTAAATGATTCCATATAAACAAACAGTACCAATCATTGTTCAAGGTTGTTAGCTGAAGCTGAAAGGAGTAAGTAAGGTAAGGGCCATATTTGGCCCTAAATAAGTTTTTAATTTCAGGAGAAAGAATATTTCATTTTGATGAAAGTATTTGAAATAGAACTTTTTTGTCTAGATTTTCTGACAACACATTAATATTTACAATTCAAATAGGCCCAAAGTAGAAATTCTGGTGAAATTTGACAAAATCAGCTGGATTTTAACCAAATTTAGGACTAGGAAACATAGAGCACAGACTTTGACAAACTAGATATTCAAGTCAGATATGTTATATGTTCTAACATTATGTTAACAAATATGTTTTGTTGTCGTATGCACTCTATGTTTTCAGTTAAAAAAAATTATGAAAATGGACTGGATTTCATTGAATTTTTGTTGAAAATCAAAATGTTTTACTATTTTGTGACATCCTGAAAAGAACGCTAGTATGTAAATTTTCAACAAAATTACCAATTTCTTATCAAGTTATTGCTTTAGTTATCATTCATTGTTATATTGGTCAATAAATCCTAATTTTGAATTATAGCTAGAAATAGTGGCCATATTAGGGCCTTATCGAACCTACTCCTTTGAAATATAAATTAGACATAAATTTAAAAAAAAATAATAATGTATCCTAAGTTATAAATTTTGAAATAGTTTGTTCAGCAATTGCTATTAAAGGTTTCTTAGATTGGATGCTTTGATATTTTCATAATAAAGAAAATAATTAAAAATTCCAATTACTTTGAATAGAAGACAAAAAGTGTATTTTCATACAAGATTATTTCTCTGTCTTTATAGAGAACATGTCTTTTGCCTGTAAATGCTGTTGTAGAAAGGTGTCTAAATGCTAAGTTATTATTCCCAAAAAAAATTTCAAATGGTGTATTTTTTTGTGGACAATCCCATAAAAAGAAGAAAATATATCAAAGCTGGATACTGAAAAAAATTATATTTGATAGATTTCTTTTGATATTTTCTCAATAAAAGATAAATGTATATAGGTGTAATACCACCATTGATTTTCCCCTATTAGTCTATGTTAAATTTGCACTTTTCAAAAAATTGTGCAGAATTTATCTATGTTTCAAATAAAGAAATACTTGGCATAAGTAAAGTTTTATCCTGTCCAGTACTATAGACAAAATTTCACATGACATTTCATTGCATATAAGAAAATAACCATCACTGGAAGTTAACCAATCAAATTTTCACCCCTTTTTTAGCTCACCTGGCCAAGTGAGCTTTTCTCATCACTTTGTGTCCGTCGTCCCTCGTCCATCGTCCGTTAACTTTTACAAAAATCTTCTCCTCTGAAACTACTTGGCCACAATCATCATTGGGGTATCTAGTTTAAAAAATGTGTCCGGTGACCCGGCCAACCAACCAAGATGGCCGCCATGGCTAAAAATAGAACATAGGGGTAAAATGTAGATTTTGGCTTATATCTCTGAAACCAAAGCATTTAGAGCAAATCTGACATGGGGTAAAATTGTTTATCAGGTCAAGATCTATCTGCCCTGAAATTTTCAGATGAATCGGACAACCCATTGTTGGGTTGCTGCCCTTGAATTGGTAATTTTAAGGAAATTTTGCCGTTTTTGGTTATCTTGAATATTATTATAGATAGAGATAAACTGTAAACAGCAATAATGTCCAGCAAAGTAAGATCTACAAATAAGTCAACTTGACCAAAACGGTTAGTTGACCCCTTAAGGAGTTATTGCCCTTTATAGTCAATTTTTAACCAATTTTTGTAATCTTTTACAAAAATCTTCTCCTCTGAAACTACTAAGACAAATTTAACCAAACTTGTCCACGATCATCATTAGGGTATCTTGTTTAAAAAATGTGTCCGATGACCCCGCCCGCGAACCAAGATGGCCGACATGGGTAAAAAATAGTACATAGGGTAAAATGCAGTTTTTGGCTCATATCTCTGAAACCAAAGCATTTAGAGCAAATCTGACGAGGATAAAATTGTTCATTAGGTCAAGATCTATCTGCCCTTAAATTTTCAGACCAATCAGGCAACACGTTGTTGGGTTGCTGCCCCTGAATTGGTAATTTTAAGAAAATTTGCAGCTTTTGGTTATTATCTTGAATATTATTATAGATAGAGATAAACTGTAAAGAGCAATAATGTACAGCAATGTAAGATCTACAAATAAGTCAACATGACCAAAATTGTCAATTGACCCCTTAAGGAGTTATTGCCCTTTATAGTAAATTTTTTACAATTTTCATAAATTTTGTAAATTTTTGAAAATTTTTACAAAATATTTTCCACTGTAACTACTGGGCCAAGTTCATTATAGATAGAGATAATTGTAAGCAGCAAGAATGTTCAGTAAAGTAAGATCTACAAACACATCACCATCACCAAAACACAACTTTGTCATGAATCCATCTGTGTCCTTTGTTTAATATGCACATAGACCAAGGTGAGCGACACAGGCTCTTTAGAGCCTCTAGTTTCCTGTGTAAAAGCTATAGTAACCATGTAACCTCAAGTTTCCAGAATATTCTATAGAAACACCAAATAAAAAAATTAGGGTACTTTGAAACACCCAAGATATATTTTTATGACTCAGAAATTTTTTACTGCAATAAAATGTAGGATTAATTTCCTACAACTGTCAAATTCAAGGGACTATTTTTTTTCGACCCTTTTTCGTATGCAACTGGATGTGACATACTATGATTTGGTGGTATTAAACCTAAACATTTATCATTAAAATAATAAAAAGATAGAAATAAGGGCTTCAAAATTCAACAATTTCATAAAGATAACATAAAAGAAATCTTTCTTTCACAAATGAAATAAAAACTTGTACAGAAATTGATATTTTGTTATAGAGACAATTTAAGATCAATTTTTTCATCGAAATACCAAAAATAGGGTACCCATTTTTTGTTGTTGTTGTTGTCATTTTTCAAAAAATGTTAAATTTTGTTGGTTTACAGTAATGTCCAGTTTAAATATCTCAGAATTAAACAAATTTGTGCAAAGTTGTTTTCCCTGAAAAATGTATTCTTTCAGTCACGATTTTTGTCAATAATTTTAGTTATATTTCTTAAATTTTTCATTCCGAAGTTTTAAGTTAGTGCATTCCAAAGAAACTATCAATTAATTCTCAGTTTTATTTAATGTTGAACAACATTAAAAACATGTGATATCACTTATAGACAAGCAACAAATCTATGACATCAGTGGTCATAGCTTCTTATCACTTGAACATTGATAATCTGCTATAAGACAGATGCATTTTTCTGTTGTTTTTCTCATATTTAGCATGAAGTGCTAGACTTGAAACTTGAGCACTATGGCAATACAGTCTGTTCTTGAAATGATCAAATACTGTTATTTATTTTTTACCAATATTTGTAAATGTAGAAAATTATTCCATACACACTTGCTTCTAAATGTCAAAACGAATTTTCTTTGATTATAGGTTCAGAAGAGGATCAAGAGGCCACTGAAATGTTAGTCGGTAATGCCCAGAATCTGATGCAAGCTGTGAAGGAAACAGTCCGTGCTGCTGAAGCTGCCTCCATCAAGATCCGTGTAGACTCTGGGTACCAGATTCGCTGGCATCGTAGAAGACCCTGGTACACCACCACCTCTTAAGAAAACCATTGTTAGGATTTTTAAATTAATAGACATTACAGCTGAAAATAAGAGATATATTTTGCAATCATTTTTACATATTCTTAGAAGAACTATTTAAGATAGTGTTAGATTTGTTAACAGAAAAAAGTTGAATATACAAGAAAAAAATGTTTGTTTTATAAAGCATTTGATATATTGATAGTGATGACTTGGAAAATTTTGATTTGAAACTTAATCATGGAATAATTCATCTAATTTGATGAAAAATTAGTGCTTTTTTTTAGATTTAGCAAAATATGCACACAACTAGTGACTGCTGATTATTTTTTCCACAATTTTAGATGTGTAAATGTTTTGCATGGTACATATATTGTATATTTATTCACACTTTTCATTCATTATTTATGTAATATTACAAATGTATGTGGGTTTATTGTCAGCATTAATTTACAGCTTCCTGTTGTTGGGGTAACTTAAGGAAATTTTACTTAAACCCCAAATGCCCTTTTAAATATTGCTTATTGTATAACTGCAATATGTCTGATATTTAGACTATGAGTCTGTAGCATGTTGATAAACTTTACTTTCAATTGTGTGAACAAATATTTTTTACCAAATTTATCTAAAAGTTATAACAATTTGCTTACACTTTCTAATGTTGTTTTAGGTGTAGTACTTAAAACATATTTGATATGATGACACTCAACAAATAAAGATCAAGCTATCAATAAGTACTATCAGATCGAATACCATAAGTCAGTTTAACATTAGTTCTATTGTCAGACCCAGTTTAATCTTTCCAGTGTGCTATATCAACTTTGACAACTTTAACAATAAATGTCCTTTGAAAATTTGCTTAATTTATGAATACATCCATTTAATTTACCTGGCTCATAGTTGGGTTAAGTGAGATTAATGCAGAATAAATTTGCTAACATTACCAATTTTTTTCAGACAAAGTACTCTTACCTACTTTTAGAGAGTGTATTTGAAGTAAAAAAAAAGTCAATTAATACTCTTGATGGAACAAGATACATTAATTTTCTCATTAGTTATAGAATATGTTTTGTTTTGAAAGTCAGTCCATCTGTGAAATTGTTTCATTTTGATTTGATCATGCTTTATTTGGAAAGTTTGGTATGTTTATTTTATAGTATATAGAGTTTTTAGTTCTTTAAACATGTGAAAATAAATGGTGCTATGTATATAGAATATGCAAATAAATATGTTGTTCTACATTGATTTCTATCGATATCAGATTTGATGCATTTTATATTGTCATGTGAATAAATGATGTTACATATCTGTAATCAGAAGCCATTTTCATGTAATATCTTACAGAATTCTTCAGAGGTCATGGAAAATTCAGTATGACTAACTATCAGTTCTATGTAAGTTTTTGTTAAAGGAGATACAGATTCTATGCAAAACAATCTGAGATAGATGATTTTTGAAATTGAATGAAAAAGATATATTTTTTTTGTAAATCTATATTGCCATCATGGGAAGTCAATCAAAGTTAACTCTAAAAGAGTTATGTAAGCATACAATTGTAGATTAATAGTAAGCTAGGCATTCTGATGTCAGTAAAAAAATTTCTTGTTTACTCTGGTTAAAAATGGTCGAGTTTTGTCGTACCTCTAGCACTGAAATGGAAATAATTGATTGTTTTTTACTAGAGATATATAACTTTTCCTCTCTTTGTGGTTTGGATGATTTTTGAAAAAGCCTTAATCTACAATTATAATGTGAGGTTAGTTGTTGTGAATTGTATTACTAAGATAAAGTGTACATTTTGAGACAAAACATGTTGAGATGTTATTATTTTTTAGTTTTATTTAATATATTGCTTGTTTGGTTTTTTAATTAATTATAATTTGTTTTTGTTTTTGTTTGGATTTATCTTGATAAGTACTGTTTTTTACTTAATAATAGATATGAAGAACATTTTTTTTTACTTAGAAAAAGAAATGGTGACACATCATTTTATCAAGAATCTACACACTGAATATAATACATTTCTATGTTTTTGTGATCTTGAAATTATTTTTGAAATAATATCAATTTACAATTTTGACTATTGCAAAATTTTGTACTAAATTTGAAAATCTCAGAAGTTCTCTTTTATATTTTGATAATTTTATGTGTTGTACATAAAGTGTTGATTTGAAGAAATGATTCAAAAATACTTAGTGGAAAGAATTGTAGATTGAATTAAAGATTGCAATTTACATGATATTTCAAATAGTAAAGGTTTTTTTAGCAGTGAAAATTCACTAATGATTAACTAATTCAACATAGAAAATTTGAAATTATGAAAAATAATAGAAAAAATAATAATATAAAAACAAATGAATATTTTAGAAATAGGGGAGTCTTTGGCAGTAAGAAATGAATATGTAAATAACACGAGAAAACACATATTTTAGCTACAATGGGGATGCCCCCTGGATGTGCCCATGATATAATTTTTTGTTAACCTCTTGAGATCCATTTGATATTACTGTAAACTTGAGGAAAAAAAGAGATTACATTTATGAAGTATTGTTATGTGTTTAATACCTATTGAAGTAAATCATTCTCATACAGTCAGACTGTTATATGGGTATTCAAAGATGTTTTTTAATGGAGTAAAACATTCTCATATAGTCAGTCTTTTGTATGGGTATTAAACATTTTTTATAAAGAAAGTAATTCTCAGTTTAAGAAAAGTGTTCATGTGTAAATTTATGAGTTATTTAGATTCACTTTTACTTATTGTCTCACAACTGCAAATTTAGTGGCACAATTTGTTTAATACCACAGTATTTTTGAATATATTAAAATATTATATATGCCTTTGTAGCTGCTAGTACAACCTCATCATGATGTTGTTAACCTAACCTAAGTGAACAAAAACAGGAAGTTTTACTTGTGTGGATTTAGTTTAACTCCTGTAAATCTTCTATATCCTTGTTTATTTGTAATTTAAGAATTAAATACTAAGACGAAATTTATTCTAAAACATGATTTTCTTGGGAATCTTTGTAACCTAAATTATCCTATGAAATAAGATAAAAGAAAGACTATTTTTGGATGGAAGGGGATCTGTGATGCAGTATAAAGTGCAAAAAAAAAAACATATGCAACATATTTTAGACATTTCTTTTTTGAAATTTTAATTGTTACTAGTAAAAGATGTTTGAAATGCTACATATTTCAATAACAGTTTTTTTTCCAACATCCTTTGCATTCAGTCCTGCATCTGAAAAATTTCTTTGAAAGAAAGTTGTATAGGTGTCAAATCCTATGGAAAAAAGGTTTTCAAAATATGTGTTTTTGGCATGAAGCATATGGTTGAGGTTATTGTTGACAGGAGACGAAATGCACAATTGATATTTAGTGCAATTAAATAAAACTTTTTTTTTGCTGTTTAAGTTCCATGGATGCAACTTTTAACATAACTATAGTAAATATTGTATTTTCTTTCTTTTAAGAAAGTTTTTGAATTTAATGTGATTTCATGAGCTATCTGTTGACTTTTAAAAGTTGAGAAACAAAAACTAATTAAATCTTGGTCTGAAAGGTCAATAATATTATATGTAACAACAGCAATGACTTGTAATACCATAGATAGTCTTTCATATTTACCCAGTTGTTAGTTTATATATAGCTATTGGCTTATTTGTACAAGATATACAACTTTACAACCAATAAACATTTTATAGAAATAGAATGCTTACATTTCCATGTTTTAATTGTAACTAATGCCTTTACGTCTAGATGATAGACTACTGTTGGTTAGTATGCACCATGTACAATGTAACAACAGTTTTTACATCAAAATCTAATGCTACTCCACTAATTGCTGTCAATAAGACACACTGTAGACATTTACTACATATTCAGGAAATGTCCTAAAATAAAGCTGAAGAGAATTAACTCTGAAAAATTCAGTGAACAGTGTGTCTAAATCTGTTGTTTTTACCTGCTTCTTGATAGTGTGGAGAATATTGGTAATGTAAAAGTCAAACATCTAAGGAATGTGAAGGTTTGGCACAGGCAAACAGTTCAGGTCTTTACTGTAAAAGTGATGACCAAGATATGATTCCAATATTGAAAGCTTAAACAAATGAATGAATAAAAGCTTGATCTTCTTCATTATACACAATATCCAAATAACATACTTGGTCCTACAATCCAAGTTATAAATTAATTTTTCATGGTCTGAAATTTGTTTTCCGATTACCAACATGCATTCTTTTAGCAATCAAAACCATTCTTCAGTTACTGTGAAACTATCTGTTCTAGGGGCGATGGGACTCTCATGCAAATACTGAAAAAATATCTGTTCGAGTACATAGTATCAAAAGTTACTCTAAAACCTATATTTTTTTTTCCTTTATACAAGGATTTTTTGGGCTGAACTTAAACACAGGTTAAAAGGAATAGAAATTTGTTTTTCAAAATTCTATATACAAAAATAATCGGAGTTTGGTAGCTTTAAGAGGAAAAGATGGTCATTGCTCCATTAAAGCTTGATGTCGGTTATCAACAACAACAATACTTTATTTTAAGAGGGTTACACAGTTAGCTATATAACTAGTCTTCTCTGGGGCCCTCATAGAAAACGCATAAACAAAAATGCAAACATATACATGGAATATATTAGTATAAAAGTCAAATATAATGATATCCAGGCAAAGGTTTGAATGCCGCTTTTGACAAATTGTAGAGTTTTGTTGACCACTAATTATCTGTTTTGACCATTGAAAGAGATTTTTACACAAGCACAGCAAATTATTAGATGTTTAAAACTGTTTTTGATGAATGGAAAATCCTGAGCAAGGTTATTTTCTTTCTTCATTAGCAAATTGTGTCTTATCTAAGAAATTTCTCTTATTCTATTAATAATGAAAAGGAGTTTGGGAACAAGTGAATTTTTAGGACTCCCAATATGTTGCTGCGAAATTCTAATACCATTGGTCAAATCTTACTTATTTACTAATTTTCACGAAATTTGTTTTTGCCTTTAATATAATCATCAAAGCAAAAATTTGAAAACATTGTACAATCTACGTTTATATTGAGTAAACATTGTACCAACTTTGAAGATTCTGCGAATTATTGTTGGTGAGATTATCTTGGACACGCTTAAATACGTACAACAAACAGCAAAACATTAAGAGGGCAGGGATTATAAGTATGATGTACTGTTATATATTTTATTTTTATAATTGGTTTTAGAACACGTTTTTTCATGAGTTTATTAAAATATAACGTTTGTATAAGGTTTTGGATTTTAAAATATTTTGGCTTCGAGCATCAGTGGCAAGACATTAATTGTCGAAATGGTCATTTGGTGCAGTAAAATAGGTACTGCTATTTTAATTGAACAATTTAGCACTAATTGAAAGAATGATCATTGAATAAGAACTTGTGGAGTTTGTTAGGGAAAACAATATGAATAACTTAATAATATAAAGCACAATGTACAAAACCTTTGAAGCAAGCTTGCTGTAAGAGCCTTAGAACTTAGAGCGGTAGTTACAGGTCAAAAGCGGGCTTGATTGTATCTATTCCATTGAACTTGATATAATGGATACCATCGATAAAATAAAAAATTTGATTTATATCTAAGTCTACACCCAACAATTTACGATGAGAGTTGGCTTAGAACTAAACCCTACGACCAAAAAAATTACTTCATTTTCCAATTCTCAATTGGTAGGTAAATGGTATTTGGTATGCAGTTTATAAAAATTGGCCTTTCTCATTTCCTTTGAATTTATTTGGATCTGCATTTTCAGTCATCTGCTTACCCTTCTGGAGCACCTGAGATCACCCCCAGTTTTTGGTGGGGTTCGTGTTGCTCAGTCTTTAGTTTTCTATGTTGTGTTTTATGTACTATTGTTTGTCTATTGGTCTTTTTTAGCCATGGCGTTGTCTGTTTATTTTCGACATATGAGTTTGAATGTCCCTCTGGTATCTTTCGCCCCATCTTTTTCATGGTTCATTGACTTTGAAAGATTTGCATAGTTTACATTTGCATTATATACTATCAAAATTACTAAATGCGAGACATATCTGTGTCATCAGTTTATTCATGGATAGATTGGTGTTTTCCTTTCGATATCTGTACTGATGACATCATGGTTTAATTGACCACTTGGAAATATATTTTGAAAGTATACTTATGCCTGGCTTCTTGTAAGATCTTCATAATAAAGTATTGCTGCTTAAATACAAGCTATTAAACGAAGTGTTTTTAGTGGAAAGGTTGAGGTGTTATCTGCGAAATTTTTACAGACTGCATAAAAGTTTAATTGACCACTTGGAAATATATTTATGCCAAGGATAACTAAGGATATGATCTGCTTGTCAAAGCCACAATACCTCCTCCCTTTTGCCGTTTATGACATCAACATCTTTGATTTATTACCGGATTATTCTTTGCCATCGCTAACACGTTGAGTACTGTTAGTCAAGTTGTAACTTCTTTGTAAACTTTGCAGAACTTTTTGTTTATTTGCTTTGGGCTCTGAAACTTCTTCATTGATTGGCTTTCCAACTGTTTTTATTCGAGGGCCGCTGACGAGTCTTTTGTAGACGAAACGAACGTTAGGCGTTATAAATCATAGAACCACTGGGTGGAAGCCACAGCTGGTGGCCGTTTTCTTCCCAAAGATATCACCAGTCCAGTAGTCAGCAATTATCATTAATATGGTCATATTTATAAATTAACTGTTTACAAAACTTTGAATTGTTCAAAATACTAGGTATTTTCTACCCCAAGAATAGATTACCTAAGCTTTGTTTGCCAAAACCTTTCGGAATTTTGATTCCTCAATGCTCTTCAACTTTGTACTTTATTTGGCCTCTTAATTTTATTGATATGAGCGTCACTGATGAGTCTTTTGTACACGAAACGAGCGCCAGGCGTACACAATGATAAGCCTGGTATTTTTGAAAAGTTTTTGTCTTGCATGTTTTGTAAACCGTTGGGGAGCACCCTGCTAAAAGCGTTGCTCGTGTTTCGTGTTTCATGTGTTTTTCTTTCTGTAAATTGTTTTGTAGACTTGGTTATCTTTTTTGACTTTTCGTTTTTTGTCCGTCTTTCTTCTTATGCCAAAAATAATCTTTTTACTTATACATTGTATTTTGAGTATTAAATGGAAATATTTAGTGTTTTTTTTAGTTTGAATTTATATCTTCCTCTCTTTCATGATGAAATTAAAACTGCTGTTCAAGAATTTTTTACGTATTTGCTACTAATGAAGTATTTTTACACACTTGCTTTTCGTTTTCTTTCCCAGTAGTTCATTCAAATGAGTGCATAAACAGTCAATTGAGTATTGTTTTGCCAACACTGAATCGAGACTAAACATAATTGTATTTTCAATTTGCGTATTATCTTCAATTCAGTTGAAATCTGTAGATATTTTGTGATCATTACAAAAGGTTTATGCAGCTAAGTATTATAATTAACCAACTAATGCTAACACGCTAAATTTTTTTTATAGCTGTAAATTCCACTTCTAAACAATTGTTAAAATTAATAATGCGCATTATGTTGATCGAGGAAAACTGGAGATAACTGGGAAACAAGTATACAATGAGGTTAATACAAATGAAAAGAGTGATGTTTAAACACACCTTGGTAATAGAGTTCTCCTAGCTTACTATACGATATTGTTACTTAATGTTGAAGTAAATGCTGTGACCTACAGTTGTTTACATCCTCATTCTTTGATCACCGGAGGATAGTAATCTTTGGCAATCATTTCACACCTCCTTATTTGTAACTTCACTGTACCCAATTGAACCGAGTACCCAATTTGCATCCATTTTGCAAAAAAAGCAGAGGAAATCTTATAGGTTTTTTTCAGAGATAAAACAATTCATACTTTTATAATTAGACATTAGGCACGTCATTCAATATAGCTAAATATATTCAATAAAATTGAGAATGGAAATGGGGAATGTGTCAAAGAGACAACAACCCGACCATAGAACAGACAACAGCAGAAGGTCACTAACAGGTCTTCAATGCAGCGAGAAATTCCCGCACCCGGAGGCGTCCTTCAGCTGGCCCCTAAACAAATAAAAATACTAGTTCAGTAATAATGAACGCCATACTAAACTCCAAATTGTACACAAGAAACTAAAATTATACACAAAAAGGTCTAAGTATATATCAACAGACGAAGTCTCAAATGAAAAAAGTAAAATTTACGGGAACGTCTACAAAATGTCTACTTTCAAAAATAAGAAAATAAAATATGTCACAGATATTCATTTCATACAAAATGCATATCAAGCATAGACTATTGTCAAATTGTTAATTATTTGTGAAGAAATAAAACAAAAATTAAGTTATTTGATTACTACGGATGTGTAGTTACGCATGAGAGCAATTTAGATACTCCTCATTACAGAATCTTGGATCGTTTGGAGGTCGGTCCAAACCCATTTTTCTATGATTCAGTATGGATTAAAAACTAAATTTGTAGAACTGTATAGGATACATCTTCAAAATAAACACAGATTGGAATTTTGTCTGTTTCTTAAATAAGTGAAAGAACTGTCAAAATAAGTGTAATTTTGGTATCCTCACCGTACAACGTTACGTACGAAGATGGATACTGACCTTAAAAAAAATTATCTACAGGGTCAAAATGTCCTAAGAAATTGTACAAGAACAAGTTGGCTTATCGTATATAAGTCAATTAAATC